AAAAAAAAAAAAAAAAAAAAAAAAAAAAAAACGGTCCCGGAAAACAGGGAAGGAAAATCCAACTAAAAAAATTCAAAATGCTTGTTTAGAATATAAAACGGCACAACGTTTGATTATATGATTCGATGTGGCACAGATTCATCCTTAACCTGTAATACGGACTGCCGCTAGTTGTAAGTTGGAGAAAAAGCAGAATGTACCTTTTCCCATACATTCTAAAATTACTTTACATTACAGATAAATTACATTCTAAAATGCACATAAAACAAAAGATAAACAGCTATGAAAAAATATGTGTGATAAAAACATTCTTCTCTTTTGCTCGAGAGTGAAATTATTTTTAAATGAACAACAACTTTATATCTATAAATAAAAGATCGTGCAGTTATATTACGCAAGCGCTTTCCATTTACTCGTGAAACTGTAAATCAATGCAGAAGAAAAGTAAAAGTAACCTTTCCGTGGCTGTCAGCCATTCTGTAGTTGCCACAGAGGTAGGTGTCTCGGGACAGTCCGAAGTCTCCAATTTTTGCTCTCAGGTCAGAGGTCAATAAAACATTTCGCGCGGCTAAATCTCTATGCACCACCTGTAAATGAAGGTTTTAAAAATATATATATAGTTTAATGTAAACTCATTTTTTCAGACATTGTAAGTTTTTGACACTTAAAACTCTCTCTCTCTTAGTCATATTTGTTTGTTTTAAGATAGGTAAAAAATACAGATCGTGTTTTCTTTTCAAGGAACCAAATTCTTGTCCTGGACCCTAATTAACATCCATTTTAAATATTAAAATAAGAATGCATTTAATTCAATGAAATTTACCTTTTTCTCCTCTAAATGTTTCATAGCTGCCAAAATGTCCACCACAATACGAGACACGTTCTTAGGTTTTACAGACAACTCCCTGCCATCTTTAATGTCCTGCAGCAATGTTTTCAGGTTACCGCCAGCCATGTTTTCCATAACCAGACACCGGTAGTCTATAGTTAAAGTCAATTGAGTGAATTGATGCAACGGTAAGCAGGGTAAGCTTTATAACCCAGCATGCTCGACATTGTTTTGATGATTTTAAAACAAAGACAAGAAAACAGAAACTAGCATAAATGAGACCACATGCGTATTATGTACTGCCTTGTGCCTCATATGTTAGAATATATATATGTATATATATGAAAAATATGATCACTTTGTTTTTTTTTTCTTAATAAACTGAAGTAGCTTACCATCGTTTCCAAACCTCCTGTTGCACACGCCTATGAGCTGCACCACATTTGGGTGGGGACAGAGTTCGGAGAGGGTTTGGAACTCCGCCAGCAAATCCTTCTGTGACTGCAGGTTCTTAGGATCTATAGGGGAAAATATTCGTTTGCATTCAAGAGGAGCCCACAGACAAGTGTACGGAAAACGTTTATGGACAAGAATAGACATTATGACATAGGTTTAAGGAACAGTTTCATCTGTTCATGTTTGTTAAACCTTGGTTATTCTTAAAAGAATGAAGGTATTGAATTTATTTTTAAATTTAAATGTTCATTATGTAACTTTGAAAGCGTTACCTGTGTGTGAAACACGTTTTTACTAGGCACATCTTTGGTAGTTTTCTTATGTTTCATACTAAAAACTTTCCTCTTTCCATTACAAATAGGCAAATACTGTCCAGGGGAGAAATAAAGTTTGATATGATACGAAGCAACGCTTATCAAAAGATTGACGAAAGAATTGTTGGACTTTGTAAGGCTGAAATATTTCCATTTTCTAGATATGAGCCTGTTATCTGAACTACAGCTTCCCTGTTGAGGAGTATTACAGTTAGGTTAACAGATGAAAACAGTGCACCGTATCTTAAGTAATCCTACTTCTATTATACACAATTAATTCTTATCAATCACATGCCATTTACTATCTAAAAGTATGACTTATCAGTTAATTGACTAACTTAGGGATATTCACTCTTTTGGGTAATAGATAAATCTTCAGTGTTCAGTGACATATACGCCATCTTACGGGTGACGTAATAATCTCGATTTTTGGGTAAAAACTGAAAAATCGGTTTCTCAAATTTCTCTTTTAACTGAGCACCAACGATCATCGTTTCAACGCCGATTTAATGACACTATTTAGTACTCCAAATCCCTGCCAGCAATTTTTCTTAAAAGTCTTAGTTCAGATTTTAGCGATGATAAACCAAAATATGCCTTTGTTTTATGAAAATCTGTAATTAGGGGCTCATAACTCCATAACAAATACGTTTAAACCAAAATGACGACACGGGATTGTAATCTATACTCTCCTGGACAACTCTGCCACTTTTCGTGATAAAAGCTTGTTGAGGGATGAAGCTACGGCCTATACCGATTACTGTCTCACCTCAAAATAGAAAGGTGTTAAATTGACGATTAAAGCTTTGAGTTGCCTATGCTTATATATTGCACAGCGAAAAAATATAAACACCAATATTTTATATTTTCGAGGGCTTTTTCAATCATTTAAATTAGCACAAAAAAGATGCATTATTGAATAATTAGATGCAGGAAAAAACTCTTTTTCGGTACTTGGATGATAATAAAGGGTTACAATAACCTTAAATTACAACTTCTCAACGGGAGCAATTTTAACTACCCCATGAACATGTGTGTGTGTGTGTGAGAGAGAGAGAGAGAGAGAGAGTTAGAGAGAGGGAGAGAGAAAGAGAGAGGCAACTGACTGGATGAAATTGCTTTTTGAGAATGGAAACTCGGTGCTCGTTTGGGAAAAAATGTCAGAATGGTGCAATAAGCACGGTATTGATAACTTGTTATAACCGCAGTTTGTTCTATCCTGATAATCATTCATATTTAAAAAACTGAGAATATTTTAACACGTTCTTCTTCCCTAGGTGTTAACAAACACTGAGTATTGAACACCATTTCTGCATGTTTGAACCTTTGCATGAAATCGCGATTGTACGATTGTCCTTCCTGTCGTGTTATTACAGAGGAGGAAGATTATCAAAAAAGGCAGTCATGTATCTGTCTTAAAAACGTACCTTTCAGCATTTTTACAGCCACATACAGCATCTGTGTCTGTTTCCATTGTATGTGGCCATTGAATACTTGGGAGAATTCCCCTTCGCCTAGTATTTCACCCACAAATAGTTCGTTGTTTGGCACTTGCCATTTCTGCAGAAGGTACTCTTGATTATCTAAGATAGACGCATCTTCATCACCAGAGAAAATAAGGTTCTGTAAATTTGAGAAAATTAAAAAAGATCGATAAAAATTAGTAGTATATCCCCGTTTCCTTTTTGTTCTTTCCCGTGTTTTTTTTCTTTTTCTCTCCCCTCCCCACTCATTAATTCTTTCACAATATTATAATTATTGTTGTTTTTATTATCATTTTTATTTTGCACATTAAAAAAATTGTTTGAACTCCAATGGAAAGGGTCTAATTCTCAAGTGTATTATAAAGATGCTTGAAACGTACTTTTTATATGTCAGTCAACTCTTCAGTTAGAATAAACCCTTTGATGTACTAAAATGAGGCGCAAAAGACGCTATTGCATCTATCATTGTCCCAAGTAGAACATTCAAAATTATCTTAGATTCAATACCTGTAGGTATGTGTGGTATTCAGCATACATATCTGATGGCGTGAATATTCTTTTTGTCGAACCACGCATCTTGTGAGTTACGACAATAGTAGTGATGATGGCAGCGACAATAAGTACGGCCAATGCAATCATCGCAAATGTGATCAGTACCGGTACGTCGTTGTTCTGCTGACGAACTCCATAATTTGGCTCTTCCTGGCCAGTACTAGTGCCACCTTCTGGCTCTGCCGGCACAACACCATCATTTGTCGCGACATCATCACTCGTTGGCAACACTGTGTTTGCTTCAGTTGTTGTCTCGTGTCCTATTGTACGAAATAAAGCAATAAAAGCACAACCAAATCTAATTAAATATCACAAATACGAAAAAGTTTGCAGTTTCTATGGCATTTTTGGCGATCATGACCTGTCGGTTAAGCAAATACCCTATGTCTGCATGGTTATTAAACTACTGATTACACACTATAATATAGCCTGTTGAATTTCATGGAACCTACATCATTTCTAAGGTAATACTGACCGGGCATATATATAGGGGCATAAAAATATAAAATACTCACCTTCCACGTAAACGACGTATGTTGTAGACAGTATCTGTCCAGAAGTGGTTGAAGCAATGCATGTGACATTCTGATCTCCTGTTGTGTGTATTCCCTTTGGGAAAATTATAGACCTGGAAATAAAATCCAAATGATATCCTAACTAAAGCGTATTCAAACTATATATTTTTCAAATGTCTACGAAGTAGTTTGACAATTTGATAATGAGCACTAAAGCTCATCAATATTGAAAAATGTACAAACTAAAAATGTTACAATATTAAAGCAAGCCGTACCTGTTACCCGTTTTGTGGATAACGAATGCATCATCAGACATGTTTTGACTATTCATCAACCACCTAATGGTTGTATTAGTCTCAAGAGAAGATGGGAAAATGTTACAATTAAATTGGATGCGTTCCTTCTGTTTAACAGCACCGTTTGCCGACGATGTGACCTCTAACATTGGCGTCACTGAATTCAAAAAATAAATACTTGCTGTGAAAGTAAAATTAGCCAATTTCATTTCTCAAGGAAAGTTGTTGGATCTTATTAAAAAGTATTGTCAGCATTTATCAAAAAGCAAATAAAGTTGCACTGTCATGTAAAGTAGAAAAAGTGATAGAATATAATAATTTAGAATGCAATGCAATAAAGAACATAAATATTTTTCTTTACAAGATCCATCCACTAAAAATTTTTAAAAAATGGAAATAAACAATAGGCTACAATGGAAAATGAATAGACCTCTGTCACATGTTGCGCCACTCCATCCCTTGAGACACACACAACCTCCGTAGAATGTATGACAATAACCACCGATACTGCACCGAGGACAATTCTTGTTGCAGTATCTTCCGTATTTGTTCTCAGGACACCCTATTTATATTGAAAGTTTATCATATTAAGTGTATTTTTACCTATTAAGTTTTCTTTATTCATTGTGAGCAATTCATATCAGGCAATCGTGTTATAGCAACAACTAAATTAACAAAGTAAATCTTATTTAGAATATACCGTATGCTTATATCCACATGGTGTTTGACAGGAAGTTATAGAGAATATAAAAATAAAAACGGTTTTTCAAGGGGAAAAAATTCTTATTAATAAAATGTCACACTTTATCAAAAAATAAGATAAGTATACGCATCAAATGTGCATATTCCACCCACTGGAGCATTCATCTGACATGAGTTTTTAAATTTCGAATATTAACTCACCTAGAACATGAGTCTTAAATGCTCCCCTCAAAGCTGTAAATCCTAATTTGACGGGGCAGTCCACGAATGTGTTGACTCCAAAAACGGGAACTGTTATTTCAAAGATCGCGTTTCTTGACCCCCACAAACTCACAGGGAACGGATAGTTCGACGCATTCTGAGGTGGGCTAACTGAGCTTCCCTTTAATAGTTTAAATGGAAGCGCAAGATGACCTGGATGACTTGGGGAAGTGTAATTACAGACTGTTTCAAACAAACCTGGGTCAACTGGGATAAATTGATCAACTTGTACGTATACGGTCATAGAGCCTGAAATATATAAATAATGAAATAATACACCGTTTACCTCTCATTGTATCGCAAGAAAGTTTATTTAAAAAAATTTAATTAAATCTAAATTGAAAAAACAATACTGGTAGGCCTATCTCTACGCAGCTGTGATGGGGCTGGAGTCTTTAGCTCCGTTACCCCCTACTTTTAAATAGTTTGCAGATATTCATAACGTCTGGTAAGTGTATATAGAAATTGTGTTAATTGAGACAAACTTCATGGTGGTACTTATTTAAAAGACGCTATGCAAATGACCAAGAGGTAAGTCCTTACAATTTTGTTTGATGGCGACCCATTCTTTGACCGTGATACTGTAGCCGGGAAGATCGGTCCAAGTAAAGTTCAATGTTTCCTGGAAGATGAGTAGTCGCTCATATATCTTATGTAGGGTCTTCTTTGCCCAGTGGGCTTGGGCTGTTAAGACAAGGTTATGGCCTCTTTGCAAGCCCACAAACGAAATTTGTGAAAAATTGTTGTAGATAAGAACTTTTGCATTATAATTTGAAATATGTTTATTATCCCTAAGACCATAACATATAATATAGGCAACAATTTATTACATCGTTAAAATGATTAGAATAGTGGGTTTAAATAATAAAAGCGGCCTTGTTTGGCCAAATTTCGAACAATTGATATTCTTTGTTGCCTTTTTTCTTGTTGCGAATGGGACTATGAAAGTTTGTGGGACACAGCGACAACAATCTTCAGAGCTTATTTAAGCACATGCGCATTCTGCACATGCTCAATTCTCCAAGAGAGGGGTAGTCTCAATTGGGGCAATTTCTACTTTTATCAGGGGGCATCACTGCTGATCCCATTGTGAGCTCAATTGACTCGCGCACGATACGATAAAGCAAGACGTTATCATTGAGGCGACCCCTCAGGTGTGCAGAGATTGTTGTCACCATAAAATGCCGTTTGACTACGACAAACTTCTCTTATGTTGATGACTGACACATGCACAAAAGGTTATATGTGACATGTTGTCAATTTCATGTTCTTTTCATTTAAAGTCAATTCATTAATCATTTAATGCCACTTAAAAGAAGTTCAAACAAAACTGTTGTTTCAAAGTCCGCATTGAATCCTCCATTCATTTTTATACGTCTATGCTTGAGAATAACAGACTTGTACATGTAACAACCCCAGAACTTTGTTTGTCTACATGTTACGGAATAAAAATAGTTCTCTTTATTATCATAATGACTCCCGTAACTAATAATAATAATAATAATAATAATAATAATAATAATAATAATAATAATAATACATATATTAAAACCGTTTACGTGTAGTTCGAATTTTGCGACTTTCAACAGCCGTAACCACTCTGTAACTTGAATAAATCAATCTAAAAGTCATAACAGTAAGCATACTGTACAACATTGGTAAAAAACGTTCTCCCACCCCCAATTCCATGTGCTTTTATTTACAAATGATCACGTCACTGGTGCAAATTGTTCTCAACAATGCTTTTTATTCCAGATACCATACCTTACATGATTAATCGTTCATATAGTTACTTTAAGATGCTAAATTATTTCATTTGGACTCACTGCCGACGCTTTCTTAGCACGGTCACTTTACAAAATGATGTGATCAATTCTTTTACCCCATACTTACTTTGTCATAAATTGATGGGGGGGGGCAACTTACCCCGGGGTCCAATTAGCCCCGGTCTCCCCTATCTATATTTTATAACATTAATTCAAATTGAAAGTATGCACCCCCTCAAATCCGGTGTTTCACTGTGGTTTCACAGAGGGATAGAAATGTCTGTTAAACTAAAAAGACACCGCCAAATATCACCAAATTTACACACAATTACCATTAGGGTGTGCTCGTTAAATGTCACGTGTCTAACAGCGTGTTTGACTACCGCACTGCAATTATCTCCTGTGGGCGGCGCGACAAGCCTTCATCAAGGGTTACAATCCTGTTTTGTGGGATTCATCCTTTTTAATTTCTTCTATGTATATTATTAAATTATATAATATTGATAATTATAATAACAGGTATTATTATAATAATAATGATGATCACGATAAATAGATGTATATCACTGGGTCGGGATTTTAAAGACTGTCAAAAAAGTCCGTAGATCCATGCCCCTGACAGCAAAGTGTACAATATATCATTCTACCCACCTGGTTCTCAGTCGCACTAAAATTACCACCGGGTCTGACGGCACACACTGCCGATGGTGAGTCAAAAAAAGAAGAAAATTCTTCTCCTCTTACAGCAAAAGTCGTGAGGACTAAACCTGTAACAATCGTCAGCAACAACAGGCCTTTGGCACCCCGACAACTTTCCATGTTCATAAGATTGTTGATAAGTCAGTACAAGACGGAAGACAACTCTAAAAAGTATCATGTAAAACGTCCCTTTAAATACATGTAGACAGGTGCTCGTGGCAGGTCCTTGATAAGCCATGCTTTATCATTCTGCTTACTGTCACTTCCGTATAAAGAAGCATTCGATAGATAATAAATTAAGATAGGAAGATTAAAATAAGAAGATAAAACCACTTATAAAATCCAGGGCTCTTTTGCAATGTATCGAAGTCTGGTATTTTATCTGTTGATATCAGCTGTGTCAATGACGGTGTGAGTAGACGGCACGCGCGGACGATGTTGTGCAAAGTGAACGTTGGCAGCTGAAGAGCGTAAAGTTGAGAGGAAATAAATGATGTTGGCTGTTAGAAAACAGTTCTCGGTATCTCATGAGCATAAGCACACGATAGGCATAAAGCCCTTAGCAAATATTACTACCTTATTGTCTTCTCTTAAGATGCATTCTATAGTATAAGAATGTATTGACGAAATAACTTCTCTAGACTGATTGATATTTGGCCTGTTAAGGGCCCTTTTATTAATGCTTACTATATATAAGTAATATCATTTACGAAATTTAATGAAGATGTTGATCTGCAATGATTGATGAGAGTACTAAAATAGCGAGACAAAATTTTTATGGTAAATCGTTACATACAAAGTAATTATGTGGGTTTGCAGAAAGGCTGATTTGAATGGTTTGCAATAGGAATTAAAAACCCAGTGAAATAATGATACTGGACGGAGATTGTGTTTGTTGGACTCAACGTATCGGCAGGCTTCCGTGACAGGTCTGTGAACATTCTGTTTGCTTTCACTTCTGTGTAACTTAGACGCATTCGGATTTAATCAATTACACAACCCATGGCCCGTTTTATTTCTTTTAAAAATACTCCTCTTTAGTCATTCGTTACAACTAAGATGTAATAAACGGATATATTAGATCTTAGGTTACAAGGTCGAGAACCGTATTTTGTTTAAAGTCTATCACAGTAAATGCAAGACTGAGTTATCTATCGTCTGTTACCTACCGATGATTTAAGTCTGGATGTTATTGGTTGAAATCAAATGTGTCGCTGACGGTGTGAAGTGACGGCACGCGCGGGAGACGTTGTGCAACGTGAACGTTGACGTTAGACACATCTAAGCGGGTTAAGTTGAGAGGAAATAAAAATTGTTAGTTGTTAGAAAACAATTTTCATCGGTGTCGCATGAACGATATTCATGGGCACTACGTAAGTCATCCCAATGAAAAGGTAATTCACACCTAGTGCAACGATCTCGGATGTGTTCAACAATAATTTCGTTTTCGCCCTGTAGTAAGCAAAACTGGCACAATATACATAGAGGCTAGACTGCCACCTTGATTGGCTACTAAACGAGTGTCGTGAAATCGCCAGTCTACCATAACGCAAAAATAATAATGATAAATAGAAATAATAAAATAGTAACATCAATTTTGGTTAAGCATTTGAATCGAACGTCGTTAAATCCCTATAAAATAGTAACATCAATTTTGGTTAAGCATTTGAATCGAATGTCGTTAAATCCCTATAAACCACCAAAGAGACAACAAAAGAAGGTTTTCATGGTAGATTAGTATGGAAGTCTAAAGTAATTTTATGTAGATTTTAGGTTTATCCACGGTTAATTAATTCTATGGCGATTCTAAAACACTAGTTAAACAACCAATCAAGGTGACGACCGAGTGTGCCGTTAGCTAAAGTCACTACGCTGAGAATGTAGTTTTCTCTAAAGATGTACTTTTCTCTAATAGAAACAGCCCATTTTTGTCCAAAATGTCTTGTATCGCCACCTAACTGGATCTTCAACATAATTTATTAAATAATAATTATGTTAAATTATAATCATACTATGTCAATAATTATACTAAATGGTTAGCAATATGAAACCGGATTGAATGCATATTGTAAACAGTCTGATGACAAAGTGTAGGCCCTACGACGGGGATTGTGTTAAGTGCGTTCAACAGGTCACACTCTCATATGTGCTCAATGCAAAATGACTTCAGATTGACTTACTTCATTGATCCTAATTATTTCTCAATAAACAAATCTCAACAATAGTGAACAAATGTATGTTATCTTTATAACCTTTCTTTCCGCCCCATCTCTACCCCCTCCGTCCACAAGCAAATAAAGGGACCACAGTGGCAGTGTTAGTGGAACGTAATATAAGCAAAACGAATATGGCACTTTACAAACTAAACAAGGTTACTGATAATTCAGTTTTATCTTATAAGAAAACCACATGCATACAAGTGACGTCACCGGGTATTTTTTGTATTGTGCCTACCTATTTATGTACATATCATCCAAAATATTGATAACTGTTGGATACATTTTCTCATGGGTATTTGAACATTGAAGTATGTATTGTTATACATCATTTTACATCTTTTTATCATTGATTCAATCATTGCCATAAAAACGTTTACTTTTTACATAAGAAAAATTCATTATTTACAGTCCTTTTGCATTATTTTGCATTTTTCAGGATGCTATTTTATTATAGCAGTCGCATTACATCAAACTTCGTGTGATTCCCCTATGTTGGAGCCTGGTGAAGCTGGCAAAAGGGTAAGGTACGAATCTTCAACCTGTTGCGGGGAACTCGCAGTGAGATGCGGAAATCCCTAAAAAAGAAGAATAAATTTTAATACCGTTGATGGTTATTTATCCAATGCACACTTTGCTGTGGCTCTATGCACCTATGTTAATTGTGGGTGACAACCGAAATTTCTCCCGAATTCTTGCATACAGTTTAACCAGGACACGTCGTATGTTAATGCTCTCTTTTTAGAATTTTTTAATATATAACAAGCTCAAAACAAAATACTTTAAAGACGATAAAAATGACTGGTGTTCATTTGAATATTTAAAACCATTATATATATATATATATAAGTTTGTATATAGCAAGCTTACTCTTTTGGATGTGTGCATTTCTTTGAAATGATGATAAAGGCTGCTAAATGTTGGTCTTCCGTCCGGATTTTTTTCCCAGCATTCCAACATGATTGCGAACCATTCCTGTAGACAAAAATAGCACGGGCAGGTAAGTGAACAATGAAAAACCTATTTCAATCACTTATGAAATACATATCAGAGTATAAAATCTGGCAATTTTGAATTTAATGCCGTAACACTTGTACTATGATAACCCGTACCTCAGAAGAAATTATCGTTTTTTCCTTATGACAATGACAGTGTTATAGATAGTGTACAATGTTAAATTTATAGTTTATCTGATTTAATATAAGTTTTAAATTTTGGGAAAAATTGGTGAAAATACATTTAGTATTAATGTAACAGTTCAACATACGCAGAACATGACTTTAATTCTATGAAAGCTTACGTTTGAAGAGGAAATTGGTTTTTGCATCCGGTATCCCTTATTTAACAGACCAAGTAGGTCCACCGGATCAACTCCTGGATATGGCAGAGATCCTAGCGCGCCAATCTCCCACAGCAGGACACCAAAGGCCCAACTGAAAAAACAAACAGCATGAATTAGGCCTATGCACTCTATAAACATGCTATACCTGAAAGAGTAAAACATGATTTTATAATAATAATAATAATAAAAATAATAATTATAATTTATTGAGCACTAAAATGTTTCAGTACATTTTACAGGCCCTCTAAACTACTTGTGTTATACATACATGAAATATATATCTAGACCTATTATCACACTTATGTGATATCAGGCTTATGAGCGTAAATGAAATTACATGTTTCATAATTACGTTATATACGTAATCTACAGTAGCAGAATGAGGCCAGGCAGTGATGCCCCATGGTATAAGTAGCAACATGTGCCTCAATGGAGATTACCCCTCTAGGGCACAATTGAGCATGTGCAGAATGCACATGTGCGTAATTAAGCTCTGAGGATTGTTGTCGCCATAAAATGTCGTTTGACTACGCCAAACTTTCCTTTGTTGAAGTCACTGATCTTAAATCTCCTTACACGTCTGTCTTTGATGTAAACTCTCCTTTCTCCATGGATTCAATGGCCATCCAATACCAAGGCAACCTCTGCAATTCATACGAAATACATTTAACAAAACGCGCTAGGCTTTATAATAGAGAGAAGCAGCAACCAAGGAGTCTGTTATAACTCCTTGCAGCAACTGAAGCTTGAGGTTTCAGTTCACTGCCTGCTTCTTAACTTAACAAGCAAAAACAAGTTTCAGTTTAAACACACAGAAAAGGTCCCACAAAGCAGGGAAAGGGAATCCAACACAAAAATACAAACAAAAATACAAACAACGTGTAATACAAACATTTTCTCTTTCACTCGAGAACGACTTCGTGCAAATGTCTTTAATCGAACATCAATTTTATAGGTATAAATGAAGGATCGTGCAGGTATGTTACGCAAGTGATTTGCATTTACTCGTGAAACTGAAAACCAGAAGAAATGCAAAACTAACCTTTCCGTGGCTGTCAGCCATTCTGTAGTTGCCACACAGGTAGGTGTCTCGGGACAGTCCGAAGTCTCCAATTTTTGCTCTCAGGTCAGAAGTCAATAAAACATTCCGTGCGGCTAAATCTCTATGCACCACCTGTAAATGAAGGGGTTTGAAAACAATTAGCACATAAAATCATTTTTGTTGTCATTGTACGTTTATGACACTTATAATTAACGACTTTTATGACAATCATTACATTATTTTTGTTAAGATAGGAGGTGAAAAAAAAGAAAGATTGTGTTTTCTTTCCACAGAACAAAATTCTTGTGCTGGGCCCTAATTAATATTAAATTTTAGATATCAAAATAAAAACGTATTTAATTCAAGGAAATTCACCTTCTTCTCTTCTAAATGTTTCATAGCTGCCAAAATGTCCACCACAATACGAGACACGTTCTTAGGTTTTACAGACAACTCCACGCCATCTTTAATGTCCTGCAGCAATGTTTTCAGGTTTCCGCCAGCCATGTTTTCCATAACCAGACACCAGTAGTCTGTAGTTAAAGTCAATTAAGTGAATTGATCCAACGGTAAACATGATTAGAGAATTGCTTAAAAATCCAGCATGCTCAAATTCATTTTGATAATTTTAAAACAAAGGCAGGAATAGTGTATCCATTAAAACGTACATTTACATCTAAAAACATCTTTCAGACATGCAGGAACTATTACGAAATGTAAAAAAAAAATGATACTGTATGTTGAACATCTACTTCCTTTATTTCCTAACTCAATATGACATTAACAGAAAAAAAGTCTCTTCCGCATCAGGAAGTAATTTGATAATTTCAGAACGACCAATCGAAACAGCAAATTTGGTTAATGGAAATTGTGTGGATTACTTCCTTATTACGCTTTACATGCAAACAAATATATATATATATATATATATATATATATATATATATATATATATATATATAAACCTCAGACTTTAGATCTAGGATCCCACAAACTGATTTAATTCACTTCTAACCCATTTACTTAAGCCCCATTTATTCCTCTAACTACGATCGCATTTGCATTAAAATAAGAACAATTGCGGCTCATATGTAAGAAAACGATCACTTTGTTTTTATCCTTAATAAACAGAAGTAGCTTACCATCATTTCCAAACCTCCTGTTGCACATGCCTATGAGCTGCACCACATTTGGGTGGGGACAGAGTTCGGAGAGGGTTTGGAACTCCGCCATCAAATCCTTCTGTGACTGCAGGTTCTTAGGATCTATAGGGGAAAGTGTATTAATTCCATTTTTGGTGCCAAGGCCACATTCATACAAATTCACGCATTTCACCACTTTTTAACGAGCTTCAGGAATTGTAATGATAGGAATCTGCAGCAGCCAGACTTACAAACATGCTGTCATCCAGAAATATTTAAAAATTCTGGAATAAAAGACCACTCGAATAAGAACACCTATCTTCACTCTCGAGCACTGCCACTTATACACATGTACATGTATTTCCTGAACAATTCAAGTCACCCAATAAGCATACTGTCAACGTTACTTAAAGGTGATTTACATTCTTCATCAAACCGATGTACAAAATGCTTTTGGTTAAAGTAAAATGTATCTTTAAAAAGAGCAAAAATGGTACCTTTCAACATTTTTACAGCCACATGCAGCATTTGTGTTTGTTTCCACTGTATGTGAGCATTGAATACTTGGGAGAATTCCCCTTCGCCGAGTGCTTCACCCATAAATAGTTCGTTGTTTGGTACTCGCCATTTCTGCAGAAGGTACTCTTGATCATCCAAGGCAGACGCATCTTCATTACCAGAGAAAATATTCTGAAAATATTTTTCATTTAACTGGTTATGAAGTCTCCCTCTCGCACACACAAACCCCCTTTACCAATTCCCTGATGAAGATGTACTGATAGACATCGAAATAGGTAATCTCAATATTAGCTGTTGAATGAAGAAAAAATTATTTCATTCCCCTTTACCAATATTTTTAACGCAGACATGCCAAGAGAAGCAATATAATAACATTTGTCATGTAAGTGTGTGTTTGTGTGTATTTACTTGTGAAACTTTTGCCATTTCATATCTAGTGTACAATGCAATGTTGGTATGATATGGTTAATTCAGTTTCTTAAAACGTGGCTGTTTGACATATCATTTCTCTTGGATTGAAAGAGCATTCAGCGTTTGAAGGATATTGAATAATTAAAGATATGTAATTAACTAACATTCAATACCTGTAAATATGTGTGGTATTCAGCATACATATCTGATGGCCTGAATATTCTTGTTGCCGAGCCTCGCATCTTGTGAGTTATGACAATAGCAGCGATGATGATGACAGTAACTAGTGCGACCAATAAGATGACCACAACGGCTATCAGTACGTCGTTATTTTGTTGAATTTTACCAACTACTGTTGTCATTGCTGTAGCTGTCACTATTGTAGCCGTGGTACTGTTATAATCTTGAACGGAAAAATATAAATAAACATCAAAGAACTATTTTTGTCAAAGAACTTTATGATGTTGCATAGAAATGATGGGTCTATCTACGCTGTTAAGCTCTTTTTTTTTACATTTCTCTCGATTTATTTCTTAATTTAACACCTAGCTACTAAAGAAAGACTTGGTTAGTTGTCTTATTGTAAAACAAACTCTTCCAAAATCACAATTGTATTTTAACAGAATAAATATGTATTAATTTTCATTATCATAATTACAGAAATATCCTATTTACCTTCGACATAAAATGAATAACGTGCAGACACTATATGCCCTGTTTTAGTTGTTGCGATGCACGTAACATAATGTTCCCCTGTTTTGTTTATTCCTTTTGAAAAAACGATGGACCTGGAAACCAAAATGGCAAAATTCAGATTTTAGACGTGCTCTGCACATTCATTCCACACTGATATTTCAGATAAGTGACACTTACAGCGAGCAATAAAATAACTTCTCTTCAAAATTTGTTGGCAATGGAAGAATTGCTGCTAAGATGCAAAAATCTTCAAATGAACTTCGGTAGCGTTAAGACTGTCCTTGGACAATTAAAGGTGTCTCACCTGTTATTCATCCTATAAATAATATTTCCAACTTCAGAAATATTTTCTCCGTCTATCAACCATTTGATTGTCAGATTGTTCTCCAGAGATAGGGGGAGTATGTTGTACTCAAATATAACGCTCTCGTTCAGTTTAATTACATCATTTGCTGTAGAGTTAACTGTCAAGACTGGTGCCACTAAATTCAGGAAAAAAATACGTCAATCAGAAGATCATGTCTTCCAGTACATTTCAGAAGGAAATATCGACATCAGGTTCTTTTATTTGAGGGATTTTATTGTTTTTAAGATGTCAATTGGAAGAGATAAGTAGTTTGCAGGACATGAAAACATAAAAATGTGCACATGACTTTGGTTCATTTTGAAATGCAAAACGCGGACTTAACCTTTAAATATTTGAAAATTCAAATTCCAGTGCAAGTTTTTAATATAAGTAATACTTACAAGTTTCGCAAGATTGCCCACTCCATCCCTTAGGACAGACACAAGTGCCATAAAAAGTATGACAGTAGCCATCGTTACTGCACTTAGGACAGTCTTTGTTGCAATATCTTCCGTATTTGTTTGTAGGGCATCCTATAATAAATAACAGTATAAATGTGTATCATCATAAAAATATATTACATCGTATTACTTAAGGGACCTAAGAAGTTCGTGAAATAACCAAACTAAATTTTAAATCGCTCAGATTTGTTCTTATTTGCCTAATAAATAATTTTCACTCTATTGGTTTGCTTTTCAAATGCTTACCCAAAACGTCAACTTCAAATGACGCCTCGTACGCATTAAATCCGAGTTTTATTGTGCAGCTCACACGGGTGTTGACGCCAAATGAAGGAACCTCAACTTGAAAGAGGGCGTTATTTGTCCCCCATACGTCCACTGAAAATGGGTAGGCTGATGCATTGGAAGGCGGTGGCACTGACGCGCCCTTCAGCAGTTTAAACACAAGCAAATGGCTTCCTTGAAAACCGGGTGAAAGATAATTACATTCACCTTGTGCCAAACTGGTGACAATGGGCAGGTAGAAGTTCGTTTGAATGTATACGTCCATGGAACCTGATAAAATTAAGATAATAAAACAAATCATTCCACAGTCCACTCTATTCTCTGAAACTCGGAAAGTAGTCTTTTATTCACACAGACTAATTTTAACTGGACACCAAAGGTTGGAGTTGGTACTGTGTGATGTTTTGTTTGAAATTCCACAAACTAACCCATAAAATGAACAAATATTCGTAAAATTCCCCACCTTCCCCGTATTTTACATGAAAATATAACTGTAAATGCAAAACGTATACTATAAAAGGCAAAAACTAAAATAGACAGTAACCCTTACAATTTTCTTTGATGGCGACCGACTCGAAGAGGACGACTTCGGAACTTGGAATGTGATCGAAAGTAAAGTTGAACGCTTGCTGAAAAACAAAGTAGTGTAAATCTATACAGCGTCAATTTCAAACGCCACTCTGTAGAACACAAGAACTAGTCCTAATCACAAACCAAAAGCTTCTGCAAATAAACACAGCTTTTAATTCAAAACGTAACATGTTATTTTTGTAATGCTATTGTAATGTTATTTTTGTAATACAGGTGGGTACAACTGATTGTAGATATTATTTTAAATATATCTCACTTAATTTGCCTCGAGAAAAAACTATTTTCTTCTCTCACGAATCATTGCTGGACTACCCTAGGTTCTAGATTCCGGTATTGCCAGCTCGATCTTGATTTCATATATAACCCATACTAGCAATAAAAGCGACTCCACCACAAGGTATATTTAGCAAGCTAGCTTTTACGTTGCTCTGACGCTCAGGGTATGCTGGACCCGCCCCTGTACTTTGATATGATGTTTTGTATCATATGTAATCGAATGTATACCATCTCCGTTTCAAAATGTGCATAATTATATTTTTTTACGTATCTTGCAAAACTACATATCTTACCCAATTCAGATCTACAAACGACGAACTCCTCAAATAAAAGAACGCAGTGCCGATTTTTCTGTCTGATATGTACTGGATGACATGGCGGTCTAAGCGACTAGCCAGTCATTCACAAATAATTCATATAGATAAAAAGCACTTTTCTCTTACTCGGAATTCATTTCCCCGCATTTGGTTTTCTGATTTTAATTCATTTCTTATTTAAAAGTAACTTCTTTATACGCCATACGTCTTTCTTACATTTCAGAAGGAAATATGTCACCATGTACGGTATTTTGACATAAAGATACATTTGACTTAGGGTCGTTGTCAAACGCAAAAAGTAAGGGAATTCTTAAAGGATATAATCTTACGCCAGGTTCTGTTAATTCAACACATGTACTGATAAATATGAGAATGGCACCACCCTTTCAACATATACATTTGACAGCATGTACCCTTGGTCCAATAAAGTTACACGCGAGATAATTTATAGAGCAAACTGCATTTTCTAGTCATTTTCCTGTCTTTTTGGCGAGTTCATATCTTGCTAGAAACATGAATAGGTTAGTCCGTATTTGCCGGGTGAGCAAATGAAGCGCTTTCGAGAATATGTTTTTACAAGGAGCCGCCTCTGTTAAACGCAAAGCGAACCAAAACAACACACGTCACACGCGTACCGCCGTGAAAAAAGTTTTAAACTTACGTGTTAATTTTAATTGAACGAAGGCGATTTAAATATTTAGTGTGCGGTAGTTCTCATGTTACATGTGTCTAAGATGTTTATATTTCAGCCCTCAAGAAAAAATGGTAACGTTAAAATGATTATGAATCAGGAGTGCTTTCATACGTAACTTTCAACACGGGTCAAAAAGATGTCTATCTGTCTATGTTATGTGGGCCAAACTAATACCTCAAGGATAATTTCTGTAGCATTGAGCGCGAGGTTTCGTCTTCACACTGTGCGGTACCCAGTCACGCACGTGATCATGAAACCTGTAAGGTGTCAGTCGGTAATTGTGACAGTCAGGAATATAGTCATTATTTATTCTTCGCAGCCAATGATTTTGCATAAATAACTGTTCACATCAAAAGCAAGTCTAATTGAGCACTTAACCCTTGAAGAGATAAAACAGTTCTTAATTACAGCGCATTGATAAACAAGCGACATAAAAGATGTTTTTCTGTCAAATTCGGGAAACAGGCATATCTAAAGGGATTCTGTATAAGAACAAACTCTTTGTGCTGACCCATATTACACAAAAATCGCCTGCTGCCCTGAGAAAGCATTGTAAAGTTACTTTATAGTCTGATGCTCGATGGTAGAGGTAAATCTAATTAATATAAAACAGCCTTTGAGTAAAAGACATATTTACTGCCTGATACCTTGAATATGATGCTGTTAAACTGGTAAAGACCTGGCACATATTGTGATGAGTAAGCCTGTTTACCCACCTATGTTATTTTCGCTTGAATCTATTCGAAAATTCCAGGGCGCCAATACGAATTTGAAATTCAGCTAGCTGACTGATGACCCATATTTACGCATGTAAGTCTGACACGCATAGAACACACGGCGGCGTGTAGCTAGAAATGAGTCACCTTTTGAAAATTAGTTGGTCAGCTTAAAATTGGCCTTTATGGACACTGCACTGAAATCACAGTCTACTAAAACTTTTCTCTGACTAAGACCTAAAGCCATCACTAGCTACTCGTTTGACGGCGACAGATTTACAGTAGTGCTCATTTCATTCACCTACCTGGTTCTCAGTCGCGCTAAAGTTGCCACCAGGTCTGACGGCACAAACGTCCGAAAGTGAGTCTGAAAAAGGAGACATTTCCTCTCCTCTGATTTGGAGGACTCCAAAAACCAGCACTAAAATGCTTGTCAACGACATCATACGAGTTGGAGTTGTATTCGACTGCTTAGTCATATTTGAGATACCGATGATCGGTCCACGAATACCACGGGCTGAGAACAAGTCTGTTGATATCGGCAAAAAACGTCTTTTTTTAACTGGGCGAGCCTGCGAAGTATTGTTGAACCGTAATGGATTTCCCTTTTAGGATGTGACATCGGGGTCATTGTGCGCTCATGGCTGTTGTTATTCTGAATGCATATTTTCACTTCCTCGTTTAAGTTTGTTATGGTAATGTCTTCCGAGACTACTCACAAACCCTTTTGATTTTCATCGGTCATGTGATTACATGTACAACAGAAAAAGTTTAGAGCAAACAAATTCAAGGTTGAATTTTGTATTACTTATACAATGATGCATTGTTTGGATGTGTACATCGTATAACACCCATGATTGAACATTTCATCGCTTTGGACCTTCGCACGTTAATTGACTTGCATTTTTTAAAACTACATACAAGTTCGTATCGCCTAAAATCAATCATAAGAGAAAAATTAATATAAAAAGAATCGTCTACATTTGTACACAGTTGACTTTCACATCATCCTGAAGAAGGGCACTTTCTTTCAATAAATATTTAAGGGGAAGGGAGCAAATGCGTCAGCAGGCATAAATGGCAATAAACCTTTTACGACGTGAAGTTGCTCTCTTTTTTTAGAACTCAAGCGATGACCTCCGCTGACAAGCATACAACATAACCGCAATATAAATTCTCCGAAAGCTATTGAAAGTAATGCAATTCTAGATATGTTAGAACGATAAACGAGGTTTGGTTAACAGTGCAAATCGAAATATTAATTTATAATAATGATGTTTTCTTGTTAGCCCTACATCAAATGAAACAAATGTACCATATGTACTTAATTAAGTCCTCAAACTCATAAACCTTTTTACACTTAAATATCCCATTTTCATTTCACTATTTTATTCCGGCCTATCGCGTTATAAAACTTTTTACGATCTTTTAAGATAATGCAAGACTCAGATGAAGAAGACTCATTTAGTTAAGGCTTGCGGTATTTTTTATTCATAAAATAGGCCTACCGCATATAATATTATGCTGTTTCGATACTTATATTAAACAGGGTTGTTATCCTGTTGAATGTATGTCATTCAAAACAATACCACAGACATATTAACTGTAGACCTATGAGGAGCGTCCGACCATGAAAAACATTCAGTGAAGGCATTCAAGACATTCGTGAACTTTGGGGCAATTACGTGATTTAAGTCTTGTTAGACGGTAGACCTACGGAAGTCTACCAGTAAATCTACATGACGTTAGAATCACGTCTGTGCCTACACAGTGCAGGAAAAGTGCTCAGCTCTTTGATATATTGCAACATCCGTTTCTTTATCGCTATTTTCGACGTTTTCCTTTTTAAAAATCTGTTTAAGGTTGGGTGAAGTATCGAATTTTGAAAACTGTCCAAAATAAATTTAGGTTAACATGGTTTACATAACCAAACGTTTTCTTGTCCCTAATTATTTTATAGGATGCATTTCTCCTTCGTTATGCCATATGTAGGGCCTATTTTTAACAAATTACCTTCATGCACGTTGCAGTAAAGATAGCAATAATAATAATAATAAGAAGAAGAAGAAGAAGAAGAAGAAGAAGAAGAATAGGGGGCTAATTCACAGATGAAAAATAATCATAAATAAATTAAGTAGATAGGGCCTATATAAGAATAATAACCTAAAACGTGAATTGTGGTAGTTTGCATTTTGTATTTTAAACGCGTACAAATGTACTTCGAGCAAGCAAGGTTTCTGTGTATCATTGACTAAGGAAAAATGGGGTTGGAAAACCTTGCTTTAAGGAAGAAATAATGAAATAGGGCCTATATCCTTTTGATATGTTTTTCAAAACATTATTTGTAATGCAGGTGTCTAGTTGGTTTCTTGTGTTTAAAATTGCCCAACTTTGCATGACTCCCGCAGTTTACTTTCCCAAAATTCAGTGATAGTATCATACGCTTTAAACTTAACTTTATTACTTGTTCCACATCAGTAACTTATTATGCGTCACACCACTGGGAGCACTTGACCTAGATCTGTCACTTCAACCAGAAAAAAAAATCAAATACAGTGGCGGATTTTTGAAATTATAATTTTGCTAGCTGAATCATAGTTTTAAACCGTATCAAACGGCACCGTTCGCCCTCTAAAATACCTAGGCCAAATATTTCGGGGCCCTTCACCGGTCCCCGCACCCAACGCCAAATAAGCCTAATTCTGGATCCGCCCCTGAAATATACAGTTTTTCGGGAAATATAGGCCTACATTGATACTCTTCCGTATTTCTATTAGTTATCTTATTTGCAACTTTATATGGTGGCATTTGGCCGGGTTTGGTGGCAATCATTTGACATGTCGCTTCAAATGAATCTTAGGATGGGTTTTAAATGCTTTTAAAATCTTTTGTAGAGTTAATAGGCCTACAGTAAAGTTCTTTCATTTTTAGATCTCCTTTTAATGGTTATAATATGATACAGAATAAAAACACTTAACTTTTTTTAATTTTTGGTGGTAATGTAAGTTTTTTTAACCGATTCACCGAGTAGGCCTATAGTTCATTACATAACAACATAGGCCTATATAGACTAGGCCTATATAAGTTATCATTTCAACCCCAGGTAGCCTTCTGTAGTAGGCCTACCAGTAAGCCTATATACGGGGTATAGTAATGCCAGTAATGTAGCGCGCAACTTTATCTGTCACGGTAGACGACCCCCATCATGAGATACAGAGATAACTGGAAGCTAACCATGCCTCTGTTGGTAACAGTACTCCCTAAGATGGGGGTGAGTGATGAGAGAGCTTAGTTTTCACGTAGGCTGTCAATCCCCTTCGCTGCTTTCTGGAAATTCTCTTGTAATGTATTCTGTTTTCTTTTCTTTTTTTATCTTTTCACATAAATTGATATATCTTCAACATTCAAAGGTGCATATCAAAATTTCACGAAACTTACGTAGGGTAAAATGTTGCTCTTGTACGACATTCGTATATCAGTACCCATTGACGGTACATCATGGGAGCCCCTTGTAGGTTGATCGTTCAAAGTGATTGGGATCAAGTTTTGAGGTAATGCATGTCCCTAGGGCTCATTTATGATTAAAAACCTACCTGTATACTTGTTTAATAATGATATGATACTAACTGAAAATTAAGAAAGGCTTATACAAAAGAGTACACATGTATATTTTGTGAGTTAATGAGTAGTACTCTCACTCACTAGTTATGTAACTGTTAATGTTATGTTGCTTATTGTGCTAGTAGAAAGGTAAACTCCAATGTTCTCTAAGGCAAAAGTAACGTCAGTTCAACTACTTGCAGAGACAACGAAGGCAAGGCCTGGGTAACCTGGTGTAGGCAAGGTGAGCATTTTTATTGACGTTTTTTTTTTTCAAATTGCAATTTCTACAATACGATGATTAATTTTTTTTCCATTTTGCATAAATGCTGTATTTATAAGAATTATTAAGCCATGGAATATTTGTCTTTAATAGCCAGAGACATATCCTTGACTGTGGTAAAAATAGCCTTTCCTTAACTAACAGTTGAGTCAGGACAGTTTAGTTATAAAACTGTAGTTGAATCTCCAGGTTTATATACCGATTATACTTTAGAAACATTGAGGTTAACTCTTATTTTAGGCCAACAGAAAATCCACAGTGAAATTCATACAGAAGGGTTATCTACATCAGGCCAACCTTATGTTACTGCTTCTGATAATTTCAATGTGGAATGTATAACAAAGGTAAAACTAGTGATTACTACATGTACATAGTCATGAACATGCAACAACTCTGGTTGATTTAACATAAGTTACGTATATGCACAAAAAAATCTGTGTTAAACAAATGTGATCTAATGCTATCTACAGAAAATGATTTTTCTCACTGTGAAAGTTGAAATCATCCTGATTAATAATAAAATGTAATAAAATTGAATATTGAATCATGTACTTTTTTCCATTACAGAAAACCCTAACCCTTTCATACACTGATGTGATGAGTTGTTACAGATGCAACTTCCAAGCACCAAATATCACTTTTAACACAGTGCACAGGCCAAAGAAAAGTGTGGGTATTAAAGGAAAATATAGTAAGAATTTTCATGTTGGCAAACAGGATACTATAACAATAAAACCAGCTCAATTCCCCACTATCTTCATTGGTTCGAATTCCATGCAAGTTTTGTTAATTATCTTCGCCTTCTTTATTTGTTTTGCAGGTTATCTGTGTTGATGCAACCTCTGGAGATTTAGCAGTGTCCAGTGATACAGAGGGAAAGCTAAGGGTGTGGCAGACAGACACAGGAGAAGTTAGGGTAAGGCTCCCAGGTCTGTTGGCTATTTAGCACTTAATTCCTCACTTTATAGTACAACTTTATTAACTTATTAACTATAATTTTGCTAATGTGTGCAAGCACAGCTATGCTGTACAGTAAGTAAATAATGAAATGATTGAATATTATAAATTTCAGTGTATATCATTTGTGAATAAGGTATAACATGATTTATGTTGATACTACTACTACTTTTTTTGGAGGGGGGTGCATTCATCAGCAAATACCGCCCTTGATTTCTGCAATAAAATTGAATTTGATTTTAACAATTTTATTTCATTACAAAAGACCACTATTTTTCAGTTAATATACAATATATTATAATTCAGAGAGACCTAACAGGCCACCTAGGTGATGTGTATACCTGCCGTTTCTTTCCTTCTGGACTGGTTGTCCTGTCTGGCGGGGCTGACATGCAGCTCAAGATCTGGTCTGTTGAAAATGGACAGTGTGCAGCCACTCTCAGAGGTCATACTCAGGGTCAGTGATGGGTGTTGAAAGTCAGTGATGGGTACTATCCCTGCGTTGGGTGTTGAAGAGCTTGATTTCTCTTAACTGTGTATCATCACTTGCTGCATGATTCAAAGGGGATTACCAAATTTTTCTCAATTAAGTATTCTCTGTCATCCAATAGAATACAGTGTAACCAGAATGTGATTTATGTATATATTTTTGACTACAATCTTTTTGTTACCGTGAGGTTAAAACGGATATATTCTCAAAAATAGGTAATTATTCCATCATAGTGTCCAAAAGGTAACCTCGGGTCCTTACCCTTTATTGAAAATCTGATCTGCTATTCTGAAAAAGTGTGTATTTTTCCAGGCATAACAGATACAGCCATAGTGGAAAAAGGACGGAACATCATATCGTGTTCTAGAGATGGTACAGCAAAGCTGTGGGACTGTGGCCACTCTGCATGCCTGGGGACTGTGTCAGACTTAGGGGGTGTGGTCAATGGGTGTGCCCTAGGAGAACCGGATAACAGGATAGAACTGGGAGTGCCAGTAGAACAGCCAAGTGAGTCAAAAGATGATGAATAAATGAGAAGGAATTTCATTTGAAATTGACTTAATATGCCAAGACTACTTAGTAATGTAAGAATGATTTTGTATTTTAAATTGTTTAATTGCAAATACATAGGCGGATCCAGAGCTATTTACTGACAGTCTTCCAAATTATATTTGTTGATTCATCCTCCAATTTTGACCGTCTTCCAACAGAAAAAATTAGATACCCGCCAATGTAAACTTGAAAATCTGACCGTCTTCCGGAAGACCCAGAAGACGGCCTAAATCCACCCCTGAAATATGATACAAGTTAATTGCTTGTACATATCATAATTACTAAAACATATTATGCAATAACTACCTAGGTGAACGTGAAGTGCTTACTGAAGGAAAGATGCTTCTGCTGGCAGTGGAAAATGGCACCTTGCAAGGTTTTGGGCTGCACAGTAGAAGTAAGGTGTGTTTTAATTTTTTATTTAAAAAAATACAGTAAGCTTTTTCAATATTGTTTGATTTACAGTGGTATCATCAGGAATAGACACCACAATAGTTTTTTGTTTCAGAAATTGCTTTTTTTTAAAAGATTGCATAAAAAAGTTTAAGAAATGTGGTATGATAACTAAATTAAATATATTTTCATCAAGTTAATCATTACATTTCAGATCTTTGAGTATAAGTGCACAGATGCTGTTAATTGCTGTAATTTTCTGTCCACAACCACAGTTGTTTGTGGAACCCAAGATTCCACCCTAAACTTACTCGACCTGAGGAATACCAGGTAACCATGCAGGATTGCCAAAATGATGTTCAGTTATCAAAGATGCAGCACACTTCATGTAAATTATAATGCACTTATTTCAAACACAAGAAATATTGTAATGAACTATTAAACACCAAAGGACATGCTAAAATAAATTATTATAGAGAATAGCCAAATTATTAGAATTGCGACACACTGTATGCAAATTATAATTCAGTAATTAAGAAAAAAAACTAGAGTTAAGTCTTATATCCTTGTCCATTGAAAGTTGCCCAAAATAGTAAGGTTTGCCATCATTGCAAATTATCTTTTGTTGGAAAGTATATTTGGTTAGAAGAAGCACATCTTAATAATGATTTTTTAAATTATATACTGCATTTGTGCATTTTTTCTAGCACACCGATAAAATGTTGGAAGGAACAAAGAGGAGCCGTTTTGTCACTTCTGCCCCATAAACAAGGATTCTTTTGCAGTACAGGTAAATTATTTCCCAAAAATACTTTATCTTAAAGTAAATTTGTGGATTTCAAATATAAATCTTTTTTTAATGGCATACCTTCAAAATAAAAGTGTTTTATACCTTTCAGGTGATGGATCTTGTTTTTATGTGGATGAACAGCTTTCAACAAACTTAGAATTAACTGGATCAGATTGTGATCCAATATACAAGATAGCACTTGACAGTACAAACTTGCTAACAGCATGCCGAGATGGATCTGTGAGAAAATACAAGCTTGGTTAAGAAAAGGTTATGGAGTTACACAAGTTCACTTATCAGGGGAATTTATAAACTTGTCTGATCTCAAGGGCATTATTATTCACTACAAAATGTTTCAACTTTAGCTTTCCTGGATAGTTTTAGCAATTTAAGTGTTGGACAAATTATTATTATCAGAGATGTATTTAATTCTTGATATAAAGCAGGAAATCAATATTATTTAATGTTATTGACACATGTACAGCTCAACAGTTGTGATTCTTAAAAGAAATTAGAAATAGGTCCGTGGAATCATGATGCCCTTTGCCTTAATACATTTGTTGGATCTTCATTCATGAGTTCAACATTTTCTTCACTGAATGCCTGTCTTTAAAAAAGCATTTTTATAAATACTAAGTGAGATTTATTGTCACAACGTGCATTAGGTTTCACTTAAGTTCAAGTCCGTTTTTGCAAGGTTACTGCCAAACAGCATTCATTTTATGTTTATACCACAATGATATTCTTATGTTCTATCTTGTCAACAGCAGTAATTCCTGATATCTCAGCATGGGACACATTTTCAGTTACTTTCACTTCCAGAGACCTGTCCATTTAATTGTCTTTACACAATGCATCACCTGGTATGCATGGACAATGCTGTTTCTTCCTTCACAGAATTTGGTTTCTCATTTCACCTTGTTTTATTGAAAAGTTGGTTTGTTATCTGACTCATCATTGCCTTTGGAAACTGTTAAATGCCATTGTTTTGGATGTGAGCCTTCCCTGATGATTGCAGCATGGTTGGCAACAAAGATTTTATGCAGATTTTATATTTTTTTGTTATGTGTGAATAGGTCGGCTTTGTTACCTATTTGCTCAGCTGTGCTTATGTAGCATTTACTCTCATCATAAGGTAATCCTATTGGCCCACTCTTGCTATAGCACTAAATAAACCACTTGCACCATTGGCTGGTTTTGGTTTGTATTACATGTTACTGTACATTCGGTGGCAGTGGTGGGATTCATAATCATTGGGTCTGGACTAGTTACTGGTTTTTGGGTTTTGTATTAGGACAATCATAGATAAAATTACCTTCTTTTCCACAACCGTAGCATTTGGGCCTTCCTCTCTTCGCTGCCGTTGTGTTTTGCATCTCAGAGATTGTCACTTCTAGATCAGCTACCTGTTGACTAAGATCCTGATACTTGTCCTAACTTGGACATTCATCAAAACTTCATACATAAATGTATCTTGATCCCTTGTTGTGTAACTCAGTTGAGTGGATTACTGATTTTATAACCAACACATAATTATAAAAGGTGGTGCTTATAATATGCCACCAAGAAAAGACTACGATGTTGCATCTTTTCTCCCCAGCGACTGCTGTAAATAATGAGATTTTGACTCTGATCCGGGTATTTTAGGTTGTGCACAATTTGGAAGACATTGAATGCTTATTGCCACTGGCCAAAAGTGATGTCCTTTGGTTTTTTCTGATCTTTACTGAGGCCCAATGATTTCAGGAGATTCGTTTCTGGTAGGTCATCAGGCGCTTCCCATTCAGACGTGTTGGATGAGTTTGAAGTACGCGGAATGAGCTCCTTGAAAGGAACATGTTCCTGGTTCCAGATTTTATGACATGTTTTTGCTAAGATGGGCCAAAAGAAGATTAGAGGCAATCTGACCTTGCAAGTCATCCTCATCACTGTGGTCTGTGCTCCATGTGATTTGGTCCATTGCGTGAGTCGAGGTGTGATGATTCAGTAAAGGGTGGGACATTGTCCATAGTTGGTATGCATTAATTCCTGTATTTGATGTCTGACCTGCAGCATCGGGCCGACTGTTGGGAAAGAGGGTGTAAATTCTCACTCGCTGTGGGGCGGCACCTTGTGGTGTGATGGTGTGTCCAGTTGTTCTGGCTCCTGCTGTAGCTCTCAGATCTAGCGGTCTCTTTGGTGGGAGCTCAAGTCCTCCCTGATACATGTCCGATGTTGTGGGTACCCGAGTTGGTTGACCTGGGTCTGTTGAGATGGGTTTCCTTTCAGGAAGACCTGGAGATCCTGTATTCATCCTGCAATTTCTTGAGTTCTGAAAGAGAGGAAAGGGTATGGTGACTCCCATGGCAGAGATTAAAACCCTGTCAACTTTTCTTTTATGTATGCATGTATCTATCTATCTATCTAAAGACGTGTATATTCATGCGGTATTGTGGTGCTTGCACTTAGTCTTTTTTTCATGCAAGAGCGTACCCCTGATGGAACGATAATACTTTGTGGTGCCCCAGTGGTTTAGGTGGGTGCCATCTATGGTGAGCATCTGTTTCCATGGAGAGTTGCTCCGATTTGGGGCCAGTAACTGGCCTTCTCTCTTTCTTGAAGCTTATTTTTTAGAATTCGATTAGTCTTGTCTATTGACTTGTTAAAAGTGAATTCCTGTTGTTTTGTTGTGATTCTGCCTCTTGGTGATCAACAGCGATGAAAAAAGCTGGCACCAGATAAAGTGAATTTAGGGGTTTATGCAATGGCATTCCCGAATCAGACGCATTGAAAGTGTCTACTTACTTTTGAGTAATCCTCTTCCAAATTTCCTCTTTTGATTTTTGAGTAACTGAGTTCGATAGCTGATAAAAAAGAGAAGGGTTGTAGGACACCTCCTCCACGATGATGCCTATTTCCTTGTCTGAAAAACGACTGCGCTTTCTCAGAAAACCAACCGGCTCCTCCATTGTGTCAGCTGAGCAAACGTTCACGGAGCACGAGCATTTGTTGTTTTTTTTCTTGCCTCCGCGGCCCGAAGAGCAGTGTTTCGAGATAACAGTGTTTACTTCTGGGCACGCCGTCGTGCGCTAACAGCGAAAAAATTTGCGAAAGCTACGCAAAAAAAAATTAGCGCAATTGCGCAAACTGTGAAACATTTCGTGAAAGCCGGCCCTGGTCTCTTTTGTTTTGGTCCTGGTCCACTAAGCTGACTACACAGTTGTAATAAACATTTGCTAAAATCAATTTATTGTACCACCAGCGTTAGCGCTGGCGGTACACATGGTTTCGGTCTCGTCCGGATCGTTCCGCCGGCTCCGCCGGCTCCGCCGGCNGTTTGAAGTACATATCTTGATTTATTTCTTTTTAATGATGCCCGAAGATAAAATTTGAAGAAGCAATTGTTTTTACCCTTACCATTCCAAATCCTGTAGTAGCAATCTCTACCCTTACATCTTCTCTCCAGGACTTGGGCAGTACTCTTGATTTCTGATCCTTAGAGAGAGAGAGAGAGAGGCATGGATCAAATCTTGACCTTTGGGGAAATGGCTCTTCAAGTGCAAGTAAACTTTCACAGTCTTTCTTTGTAATAACATTTAATAGTTGTTTTGGGGATATTTGTTATATCTTCCATATTTTTAATCAGCTCTATGATGCCATAGAGATCATCCTGTAAAATATAACAGAATGAAGTTGTACTGATCATGTTTCAAAAAGTCCTGTAAAGATAATTTTTCCTTCCAAAATCAGGTCTTACAGTGAAAACTTTTAAAATTTTATTTGTTTTTATTCTGTGAGGGCCTATGTGACTGGCCTTTTCTTTGTAGTTGTCAATAAATAATAAATTTAGAAAAGATGGAATGCAGAAGCTGTCAATAATAGAGCTATAAATCTACATCTATAATCTAAGAGTTATCACCAACCTGTTATTAATGTATCTTTTACTGAGGAAGATGTTGGGTCTATCTAATTTTTGAGGACTTCTACATGCTTCTTCATGAGTAGACTTTCTGTTGTCCCATTTTTCACTTCTGGTGTGTCATTGGCAGTCAAAGCCATGTAAGGAGCATCAGATTCTGTAACTGCCTTCAGTTGTCCCAATCCTTTGAATGCTGTCCTAAATTAAAGCTTTCACTCCTGAAAAAAAAGACTCTTTTTAAATAATGTCAGGTATCACTGAGAGATGGCCACTTAAGAGAACTACTAATTGCAATTACTAAAAGATGACATGGAGCCAGGTCTTTGTTCTGACACCATGCTGCCTACCTTATTAACTTCTACTGTAGTGTAGAGAAGAAAAATTACTGAACTGGTTATGTCAAGTCACACAGTTACATACTGTAATATGGCTCTTTCAAAGGACTCAGTTTTTAGCTATCTTTTAATGAAATTTGACCGAAATCTTCAAGCCCAGTTTAACTTTAGACATGGATATGCGCTCAATTTGACTTACCAGCAGTGAATGCAGTGGCTTCATCAATTGCAACAAGTAGCAGCAATTTCCCTGCCACAGTGTTTCTGAACAGTTCCATGCCTTTTGCAGAGGTGGCTATCTCTGGACTAAAATATACTGAAGCCAAAGTCGGGTGTTTAGAAATGCAATTAACAAGAACACTTCTGTAAATTACATAATAGTTGACTCAAAGTAATATAATGTTAGTATTAAAATAGATAATCAACACACATACATACAACAGATATTGTCACAAAGTAATTTAATTAAAAAATACCTAATTTAACACTCCTGTCCATTGAAAGCTGTAGGGCTTTGTCGTCTTCTTTTGTTTGCACCTGCAGATCCCTGCACTTTGTTTTCTTTCGAAATTGTCGAAACTGGTGATTGTAAAGATGAAAAGGAAAGCAATGGTTAGTCTGTACTACTAACATATTAACATATTGTGTAGTTCTTAAACTAGTAGAGGTATTTATATTTCAAGCAATATTTGCATGCTAGGGAGAAAATATGTTTGCCACAAATGTCTTACAATTTACAGCAATGTTTAAATAATATAGGTATTATAAAATATTGAAATAAATATCTCTTTCCATTTTGATTGATAGATTATTTTACCTGGTCCTCCATAAGAGCATTTAAAGGGCTTACAATATAAACCACTCCATCTTCTTGTGGAAATGGAGGCAGCTGGAACCATAGGCTTTTCTCTTTTCCTGTAGGAATTTCAACATACACATCTTGCCCACTGAGTGCAGCACTTACTGCTTGGAATTGATGCTCTGTCAGCCCTTTAAAACCCCAAAGTTCTCTTACAAACCAGTCTACTTCTCGCCCCAAAGTGTCACAATGCTGGACTGGGATGTGCAATAACTTGTGTTCTAGCATTCTTGTAGAAAAAAATACTAATGGTAAGGCATTTGCCAGTTTTGAAACCTGGTGCCTGTTCTTCATCGTTCATTTTAGTATCATATGCTTTGTTCCTGAATCTTTGTACAGTCACTGTTGTGTAGTTCAGTTCTTTCGAATTTGAGATAAGATTCATATCCCTGTTGTTGTCAACTAGGCAGGCGTCTAGTTTGTCCTCTGGTATATACTTATGATATTGGTCTGCCACTTAGTTCTTGACTGGACCATAAAAGCCTTGGACCATGCTATCCACCATCAACTGTGATGCTTGTGATGAATTCTTCTTGGATGTCGCTAAGGGAACAAATTGTATGAGGGAACAAACTGGTAGAATTTATATGCCAGTACTTCAGATTCACAGCACTGTTCACATAAAATTATGGTCTTCTCTACGTTGTTTTCTTTTTGGCATAAACTGACATAATGGATCTCAGATATATGTCCAAGAAGAATGCTGCTGATTGGTCTCAGAAACAGAATAGCAACAATCAAAGTAATGTGGTCACCCCTCTCGCCATCTTTAGACATTTGTTCATTGTATTCCTCCTATGATTCTTCATCTATAAAGTCTTCTAGGGGAATGAATCCCCACTTATTATAATAAATATTTCTTTTGCTAAGCATAAAGCTAATGGCCCTTCTCCTTATTTCTTCATGGCTTATAGTTATGCTATATTTGGAGAGTTGTTGAGATATGGCATGGAACATGCAGCTCCTTATCCTGTTCAATTTGCAGGCTGTAAAGAGATGCTGTCTGTGAAAGATCAAAATAAGTCCCAAGGTTCCTTTTGTTGAACAATGATTTAATTATTCTTATGCCCTCTGCAACATACACTTTGTGACATCTTTTCTTTGTCGTAGTTGTTCATGGCTATAGATCTTTGAAGTTAAATTGTCCACAGAATCCCAATGTTGTTGAGTGTCACCAGCATGAGAACACTGGGTCTGTACCTTATATCTGTCTGTGACCAGATCTCACTCTACTAGGGTACAATTTTGCGCTTACATCTTTTTGACAGACTGCTCCCTTGGCTAACTCTGCGGTCTTTTGTCATGCTTTCATGAAGGAGATGATCCCCAACATTGTATGTTGATGAGGATATTTGATCATTGATCTATGTATCAGGTTCTTAGATGCAGCCTCTGAAACATTAACTTCTTTTGGTCTAATGTCTTCACTGCTGTTTTCCTCCAGTGTATTCTTTTTCGGGCCAAAATGGCATTCACGTGGCATCATGCTTATAGCAGAATGGGAGCTGTTATTGCAAGCCATTTGGTAATCCATTAGATTCTCTTCCCAGTGTTACATTTTTGCTTTTATGGTTAGGTGGAATCCTTGCCTTGACTTTTCGGGTGGTGAGGGCTACTCAAAATCATTTGATTCTTATTTTGTCACATAAGTCTTTTGACTGTCCTTTAAATTCATTTTCCCGATCTGTCTGCACTCGGGTTGGTGTTCCCCATTCTTGAAAAATGTTCTTGATGCTGGAAGCCACCTCTTGTCCTTCTTTGGTCTTAAGAGGCCTCAACCATAAATGCTGACTAAAAACATCAATATAGACAGTATGTGGTTGTACTTCATACATTTGCGGTGATGACGGCCACAGTTGACATGGCGGTGGGTGGGGTGAAGGCATTTAGTGCAGACATGTTGGTAGCGACATTGGAATTTGTCGCAAAAATCGCCCCTATTCCACTGGCACATTGGGGAGTTAGAGGCGGTTTGGGCCAGAGAAGAGCGGGTTGAACGAAAGGGCGGCCGTTGATTTGTGGGGCTGGAGGTAGTGGTATGTGAAGGGGAGGCACATCTTAGCATAAGTTCTTGGTTGGAAATTTCCCACGGTAACCCGTAAAGCCTATTCTGTCGGAATTCCCTGTCACATTTCTGCCAGTCCATCCTGGGGATTTTACTCAGGTGGAGGATTTAATCGCCATATTTGAGAAGGTTGAGGGCTTGATGGGGGTAGAGTCTGATATAAATTGTTTGAAAGACATAAAAGGCCGCTCGCTAATCTGTTAAGGTTAGTGGAGATTTACAGGCTGGTGTGGCAACGACGAATTGGAAATTGCCGTTTTCGTCCAGCTCACCATTGTACGATACCTTTTGTTTTTGATCTTTGTTGAGGAGTTGGCAGAAATCAACATACTCTTCTCTTGCAATTTTGTCCCGGATAGTTTGGGGGATGTGTGAGTCCAGAGGGGTGGAGAGAAGAGTAAGATGGTTACCTGTCAGTCCGGCGTGCATCATCCCGGGTCCAAGGCCAGTGACCATTGTGGGTTGCTGGCCTACACTAGCTTACAGGAGGCTGCCCCTCTATCCCACCAAGTCCTGCTGCGTGAATGGGCTGCTGGGCTACCCCAGTGTGAGAGAGCTGCCCCCCTACCATGCCCAGTCCAGTGCCAGGGACAAACTGCTGGGCTACGCCAGCCTGAGGAGGCTGTCCCCCTCCTGCTCCCAGCCACCCCATTGTGGCCATGTGCTGGGTCCCTACGGCTTGAGGGAACTGTATGCCCCCACCACCGAGGTGCGTCTGGTTGTGGGTCCTTTGAGTAAAAGGCTGAGGGGCCAGGGGTTGGCCTATACCAGTGAGAAACCTGGCCCTTGTCCAATTGGACCTAGTGGTTGGTGAAGCTGTTGGTTGTAAGCTTGACCTTTTGCTTGACCTAGTGCTGGACCTTGTGCTTGGCATTGTGCTTGGCCTATAGCTTGCTGGTTGGGTGCATTTTGCAGCCCTAGCTGTTGCTGCATTGGGGCCTGCGCCTGAAGAGGGGCCTGCTGCTGAGGTGGGTTGGTTGGCTAATTTGGTAGGCCTTGCTCCTGCTGCTGCTGTTGCTGGGGCAGCGGCCGTTGTGGGGCTGCCTGTCCAGCTGGTTGATTTCCCATCAGCAACTGCATGAATGGTCCCATCTGCAGACCTACAGGAGGGATCTCCGGAGGGTTCATTCTTGATTCCTAAAGGAAAAAATATAAATTAATAAACGACTCCTACCTGGCAGGTTTAGCCTTTTGGCAGTGGCCCCGCCCACCACATAGGATGAGGTTTAATTTTTTTTTTTCTTATTACCGTGCAGTTATGTATGAGCCTGTAGAACCATGCAGTTAGGATGAAAGCTAAATACTAGGCAACTCACTATTAGCCGCAGACTTGAGGTTTTTCCAAAACTTGGCATGGCCGTAGGTGTTAAAATGCGTGCCGTCCGTGCATACCATGGCAGATGCAGCTTCATAGCTACCCTTCATTCTCCAAAATTTGATGTTGGTGGTCTGCAAAGTATGTTGCAAAAATGTGTTGGCTAGCTTTACTTTCAGTCTGTACTGGACTACCTGTGCAGTCTTAATCCTGCTGCTGGGTGTAAGGGAGTGTCGTCTGGGTATCAACTGGCCCACAAAAACCACTCGTAGTTGGGCAGCCCAGGTTGTCAGCAATGTCACATACTCGGTGATTAACTGTTTGAGTTGTGCTTTGTGTGTATTCCAGGTGATATCATTGCCTAGCATTTGGCAGAAGAGGCCATCAAAATTTTGAAGCCTACGCAGCACTGGCAGTTCCTTGATTGTATGTAGTGTTCCACCACTAAGGCCAATCATTGTTATTCTGCATTTGTCTCAGAGGTCCAGGTCTGGAGGACATCTAGCTATAGTTTCTTTGTCGATGTTCACAGGGTTTGCCATTCGTTTAATGAGGCTGCTACCTAACAGGAGTAAATGAGGACGCAACATGTCCTGGAAAAGTGACTATTTAAGCGAAACATGCAGAATAGGAAAGGGTAGATACTTTACAATAGGGCAGCATTCACGCCTTATTGTCTAAATACTAGGTATGCTAGAAATGTGCAAGTCAGAAGTATTTAAAGCACAAATAAGCGAGACGATGACATAAATTCAACCCAGCGGGGGAAAGAACGGAACACGGCGTAGGCCAATGTGTGTGCGTATCAGCGTTCAGTGACAGTACACTGAGCGACAATTGTATTGCGCTCATATCGTAGTGGATGCTTTCGTACCTTATACCGACAGCGAGAATTGTTAATTGTACTTACCAGTTCTGTTTGCTTGTAATATTGCGATGGTTTTTCTTTGGTTGAAGCTGATCCTGTGCTGCTGCAGAAATGGCGGAGGCTTCTTTCTGTCTGTTCTGTTTACCAGATGGCCTTTTCGGTGGCCAGTGGTAAGTCACGTGACTATTCCCATGGGATAAGAGGGCTTGGTTGATTAGACCCTTATGACAATTATGTGACCAGCTCAAGATTCCTATTCCTCCCAATAAATTTATTATACAAACCATAATAATATTCATCTGAAAGCTTATTCGCTTATCCTCTGACATTTTTCATTCCAATGTGCAACATTTTCAAAGTTATCAATATGAGCGCTTGGAATTCTACTGAAAAGTAACTGATTTAACCACCTAAACATTAATATATTAAAATTATGTACAGTATAAGTTAGAAAACTTCCTAAATGTATTCAATATAGGCTAAAAATACATTTGCATATCAATTCATCGATTCATCATTGTATTGCATTAAGAGCATAAAAAGGGTGAAATTATACTATTAAAAATATTGCATCCAAAATTTACATAATTTACATAATCAGCCTATAATGCAGGTTTATCAGAATTCATTCCTAAAGGTACATCTCAATTCTTTCCTTAATTAATATCATGCATTTAGCCTTATGTTGTATTTAATATTATGAAGTAATTAAAACAGAATTGAAATAGTAAGCATAATAAAAACAGATTATAAATACATTACAAGGCATTTTCTTTCAGAATGTTTTTCAGTTTTCTGTAAAGTATTTATAACAAGAAGAACCATGATGTACTTACGCATGTCCACGGAGGAAACAGTTAATCACGTAGGATTACATAAATAAACAATGCCATTATATTCAATGTAGTTTCGTTTCCAGCTTACCCAGGCAATCACGTAAAAGTTTGAGTTAATTTTTTAGACTGTTGCTGTGATTCCTACGTTAATGAAGGCTCCACATGTTCCTTGATGGGTTATCCTGGTGCTATGACAACCTCCTACTTTCTAGGCGATTGTAGGGCTTTGAACGTGCTGGAGCTTCTTGCCATGTGTGCACCTGTGTTGCTGTTTTGTTGTAGTATGAAGTCTGCCCTGTTGCAGTTTTGATACAGTGTGCAAGTGCAACAGTTACCTTGTAGTTTAAATGAATCCCTTCATATGCAAAGTAGTCTGTCCTATCAGGAATATTACTATTTGCCATGAAATGGACATCATTTTCACAGTATTCTTGGAGAAGGGAGTTTACCTTCATGCCTTTCCTATGTTGTTTCCCCAACGTGGTAAAATGCAACTAATTATGATTTTTGCTTTGTTTTCACTACAAAAATAACTATTGCTATTGTTGCTTATTTTGTACAGAGCTGATCTCAAAAGATCATCTATGAGAAATTGATGAAATTGTAAATATATCTTTGTGTGGAATCACTTCCCAAATTGAGAATGACGGCACCAGTTTTTACTTGTTTAAAGCTGTTAAAAGAAGTATGTGGCCCTTAGGGGTAATGCTTTTGCAAGGTGTTGGAAAAAGCAACTACAGCTTTAGCGAAAAAAGAGTATCATGCAAAGGTGAAAAGAGTTTAAGAGCTTCATTGAGATTAATTTTTTTTTTTTTTTGGACAGAAAAAGTGAAGTTTGTAATCCATTTAAATAATGCACTTGAAAGAGATATTGAAGTTGTGAACAGAATAATTTTGGTACTACAGGCTCTAATTGATATAATTACAATTTTAATACAAGTAAGACAAACAGCAAGTTGCACAAAATTGTACTTGTGTTAATTAATATTTTTTTTTCTTCATAAGTGTGTGGGTGTTTCTTGAAAATGTAGCTGAAGAAATATTGAAGTTATGAATAAAGTCTTATTTTAGTATAACACGCTTTTTGATTAATATATGTGAATTTCAACGAAATGGGATTTATGAATTAACAATTTGTAAACAAATTGAATTAATGAATAAATAAACTCAGCATGAGATGCAAGAAACAAGTATACCTTCAAGTCACTATTTTAATACAGGTAAATGACAAACAGCAGGTTGCGAAACTGTCATTGGGTTCGTTTATAAAATCTTTCATATGAAATAAAAAATTTTTGAGGTCAGCTCTGTACAAAATAAGGAACAATAGCAATAGTTATTTTTGTAGTGAAAAACACAAAGCACAAAATTAGGCAGGACACTTGGAGTATTATATTTTCATTTTTGAAAATAATGACAGTAAACTTCCACATGGCGCTGGAAAACTTGTTAAATAAGCAAATTTATTTTCCTTTCCATATAATGAGCACCAGCATAATATAATATAATCATTTCAAATTGCAGTTTGGAATAGCAACTACATTTTTGATCATTCAAATATCACAAAAGAAGCATGGCATGGCGTTGGTGTCAACCAACTGACATAACTCTAAGAGCTTTTGTATACCAAGGAAAAGATTTCTTATTCTTGAACCAAGTCCAAGTGTTAATTAACTCTGGAAAGAGCTCCATGACATAGTGCACATTTAAAAACTGAATTGAGCCCTTTTTTAATCTTCATAGAAATTATAGCACACAAGGGCTATACAGATAAATTATAAGTCAAGGAAAAGCATAAGTTGTTCACTGGATCTTGGTTTTATTTCACGCAGGAATTCACAAGACACGTAAAAACTAAAAAGAAGAAAAGAAAAAGAAAATTACAATAATGTACTCACTGCCGCTTATTTAGGTGCTTAAAATTATTTACTACTTTAACTCCTTAGGAACCAACCATAGCACTAAGCATAATAGTTACCTGCCATTTACAAGAAAGCCAGATGACTAGCTGATGTTCATTACCCATATGCATGATATTCGATTTAATTCTATTCTGTAAGTACTCAGAATCTATGTTCAGTAGCTAAGACAATCTTAAACATGAATTATCTTAATAATTGTCCTCAAAGAAAGACCAAACACACAGTTGATTCATACTGTGCTACTTACAACAAAGTTCCTACTGTTCCCATTTGCACCAGAGTTTTCCCAATTATTCCTGGTTGTTTTGATCAGATGGGGTGGGTCTGCAATGAAGTACAAGTAGCGTGGTGTGGCAGCAAAGAAGTTAATTACTTTATACACTGGAGTTCCAACCAATACAGCATTGTGTAGCCTATAAAACCTCCTGTTGGGACTGGAACTGTCACATGCTGTCGCCGGAACCTTGAAGCCAATGTCTTCCAATGTTTCCACCATTTTCCATACAACTGGAAACAACTGATCACTTGTAAAGCCACAGCATGGGTAAAATGGCAGGGGGGAGGAAAATCAGCATATATATTCCTTGTACCATAAACATTAAAACATGGGTGGCAAGATCTTTTTCTTTATTTCCTTTTCTTTTTCTTTATTTCCATTTATTTCTAAATTTTTCTGAAATATAAATAATTCCTGGTTCAATGTTCCTATATTACAAAGTCCAATCAATTCTCCAGTGTGCTTATAGTAGACCAAGTCTGATTTTATCCTCACCTCATCAAAGAGCAAGGAAACATTCTTCTGATAGTCTGACAGTGTGTCAAATTTAGTGGCCCCTAACAATCTGTCAATTGTGTTGACATTTACTCCACTAGTAATTTTACTATAATGTTCATAATCTGTCAGAGTTCTCAGTTCCAGTCAGCAGAAGAAACTGCTAATGCCCCTATTTCACACAGACCACGAATCCCATGAATCGCCAGGAATTGACAAATTTCAGGCCATTGAAGAAAAAATCCTGGGAATCCTGATGATAGAGTATACTGTGTCACAGTATCATCCATTGTTCCAGCGAAAGCATGGCTTTCTCTGTGAATGAAAGGGCTGTTCCCCTGTGGGACGTTGGATAAAACTGATATCTGCCAAGAGAACTGGGTCTGGTTTGTCCCAGCTGTAGGCTAGTGATTTGTAGTTGGAGCGAAAGTGCTCATCTAGGTTTGCCAATTTGAGGTGTTATTGGCATACATCTCTAGAATTCTGTTGTTGTATTGGGTCAGTGGGACAGCCTGTTGGGGATGCTTTTGTAAATATATCGCTGAAAAGATGATGAAAGCTGCCTGCCACTGTAGGAAGGTGATAGGGACACTTTTTTTCTGGACTGGTTCCAGAATCATATGGAGATTACCATCAGCTGGCATCTTGTTTACGCTTATGTACAAACTGCTCATCCATTGAAGAGTCATGGAGACTAAAGGTGTTTGAATTTTTGGGAATGAGATCTTTGAAGGACACATATTCATTGTACCAAATTTTTAGGCGGATGGACTGACTTAAGTGGCTATCAATATGAGTAGTCATAGACTCACCTGTTGTGGGAGTTGCCAGCAATCCGGCGGGTTGGCCATAAAAAACCATGACTGGCTGGTGTGGTGTGGCAGATGTGGAGGGACCCGAGTTTCCCATCACACATGTTGGCTGAGGGACTCTAATAAATGTGTGACTTCCCGAGACTGTGGATTGCATGCCTAGAGTTTTGTGGGCCTGTGCAATATTGGCGCCAGCTGTGGAAGTGTTGAGTGTTCCTGTGCTCTCTGGTGGTGTTTCTGAGACTGTGACTTGACGAGGGTGTCGTGGCCTTCTGCGTTTTACGTCGTGTAAAGTGCGTGATCTAGGGGGAGCCCGAGTACTCCCCCTGTGCCAGGGAAGGGATTCCTGGTGGTTGGTCCATTACCTGCAAATGAAGTTTAGTTAGTATGTGAGACTCCCTGAGCAGAGGTAAAAGCCCTGCCAGCTTATGTCAGTAAATATACAAAAGGGCATGCTGTGTGCAGAAAATTAGTTGATCTTTGAGCCATCTGCTGTTGTATTTCTTTTAATGCCTTCTGCATGCTCCTTATTTCACCCCTAAAATCTTCAGTTTTAGAAGTATCTGTCTCTTTAGACGGCTGTGTTGCAACATGACCCTTTTGGTCCCAGTACGCCCTTTTTTTAGTTTCCATAGTTACCTTTAACTCACGATGCATTTTTGCCAATTGCATAGCTTCATACAATGTAGATGGACGCTGCATATAAATAACTTGCTCCACTTCCGGGTTCAACATTCCTGCACAAAATCTATTTACTACTTCCAAATCTACAAACGACTTAGGTAGACTAGGGAAGGCTTGAGACGCGGGCCTTAGAAGACGTACTCCCCATTCATCAACAGACTCTGTCTCAGTCTATTTCGCATTATGCAGCTGAGAGCCTACTGTTGCTGGAGTATCTGTTTCTCCGTAACACATTTCTAATTCTTCCACTAGGCTTTGATATGTCAATGTGCCTTCACGTTTAGTGGCATTAACGCAGCATTCCTGAGCCTTACCTATAAGGCATAAACATAACCCATCCAATGACATGTCATCATCCCAACGTTCTCTCTCAGCATGATGCAAAAATACCAGCTTAAATGCTGCCCAACTACCTTTACCGTTAAATGTAAGATTTTTAGGTGGGTTAATCTTACGTCGTGGCGAAACGCAGGCTAAGGGGGCCCTTTGACCCAAGGTACATCACTGGCATTGTCCACTTCCATGGAAATCTCCTGTCTTTCATCCCCAGGGTTTGACGGAAAAAAGGATGTGCTGGCGTTGCTGGGAAATAAACCACTTGGTCCCGGCACATCAGTGAATCTAGGGTTATTGCACGGATGAGAAGTTGAAAACTTGGTGCCCATAGGTATGGTTTTGAGGAAAGTCCTTTCACTGCCCTCAGTCTGTGCAGGCATACTAGGCATCTGTGTAGTAGGAGGCACTTTTCTTTTATTTGAAGTAAATAATTTTTTAGCTGATTGCCACAGCCACCCTCCTCCTAAGTTTGGCATCCATGTTGACTTTGACCCCTCATCTTGTGACCCAGGTGGGTTAGGGTTGGTTAAAAAGTCTAAAACACTTAAAGCAACTGGGGATATTTTTCCCTCTAACCACTCTAGCATCATTTCTCTTGTTAAGTTGCCCTTTTGAGCTCTTAACAAATAAAGCCTGCCCTGTTGTTATATCAGGTATATGCTGTTGTTGCTCATCAGTGATAAAATTGACGTAGAACTTAGCCACGTGACCCGCCATTTTGTTAAATGTGTCAGCGAAAATGGGATTCAAATAGTAAAAAATGCCTAAACTATACACTAATACTACACAATAATACTTACCGGCCAGTACTTTTACTGATAATAAATTATTGTAATAATGATGTAATTATAATAGCGTTAACCTAGTAAAATGGAATTCTAGAGTGACAGGCACTTTCACCACATACACTTGTGACCACACAATTTTTATTATTTTTTGAACTGCTGCTTTCAGCTACTTGAGTACATGCTTCCAATGTAGACTTCCTTTAGTGTCTAATAAAGGTAATAAAAGTAATTCTTACCTTAACTGCTCTTTAGCTTGCTCCAAATAGTAAATTGCTTTGGATCTCTCAATTGCACGTCCTCTCATCCACTCTTTTAAGAAGCAAATATCCAGATTTTTCATCCAGATACATGATGTGCTAGATATGCTGTCGCCCTGATGCTAAATTGTTTGTGATATTCATAAAATCCCCTGCCTTTATTTTTGATACTCATATCTGCTATATCTCTTGGAAGCAGGTTTTAGATGGACAAAAAGGCTGCTCTTGTGTTTTTTGAATGAACTTAATTTCAGCCAGGAGCACTGCGTCTGGGACCTCCCACCCACATCAGTTCCTCGATTTCCTCCAAAGTGTCCATTCTTTTTCTCTTTTCCATCTTAGATTTTTTTTCTCTCTCTGTTTATCCAAATAAACCTCATATTTTTGCCAGGAAGAGGCTGCAGATGCAAGAACCGCATTTGTAATAGGTACTTGTAGGATCCCACCAATCACTTTAACATGATCACACACCATTTTCTGTGCAACAAGGCTTTCATCTCCTAAATTTTCAACCTCTATTTCTTTATTGACAGAAAAACCCCTTTCAACGTTTGCCTGGCCATGTGACAGAACCAGAAGTAATTTGCACACTTCAAGCAATTTAGATTAAGAATCATCAGGTTTCATACATGTACTTGAAAATTATCAGGCCTGTCACTATCATTTGCATCTATTCTGTTTCCACTTGCTAACAGGTTCAGAACTTTCTTAAATTTGATCTGCATGCATCTGTCAGCTGCCATCTCCCTTGGGTTTAGAGCAGGCATGTTCCGAACCAGTGAATAGGAAATTGGACACATATGTAGGATCTTTTCAGTGGTTTTCATCATGAACAGTTTGCATTCTAACTTGAACCCCATGACCTCTCTGTCACTTGCCGCATTCTTTGTTTAACTTTCCTTGAGTGCCTTTTCTGTAAGTATGCCCACATCAATTTGGGTGTAAGGGAGGCGATTCTCACTGTCATTAACATCTACTTTGGCAATCTTTTCCTCACTTTGGCAATGACGTATGAGGTAGGAGGTCTCTGAATGATACATATTCATTGTCCCATATCTCCTTATTCTCCTTAATCCACCCTGTCCTAAAAGTATCAAAGTAATAGCAGAATTTGTAAAGACTGCTGTTAAAATACATAGTTCACCTGAAATCTAGTATATCACAGCCACTTACTGTCAATAATGCTGTGAATAGCTTAATTAATTAATATTATAGCATAAATTGCATTAACACATGTATAATTTAACATACGACATATGTAAACATATATAATTGTATATCCATATATATTGTGTAAATATTGTAGTCTAGAGAGCCTGCAAATGTATTCACATCATTTAGTGCTCAATAAACTTATTATTATTATTATTATTATTATTATTATTATTATTATTATATCTTCTGCCTCAAGTTTTTTGGAACAAGATGATGTCAAGGGGTAGAAGGGAATGTTAGCCTAACTTCGTTGTGCTGGCCTGTTGACCCGAGAGGCCATCCTTGAGTGGTTGATGGGGGTGTGTACTCAACTGCTTGTTCTCCTGTGGGGCGGAATTGTCCTGATACTGCCTGTTCTCCTGTGGGGCTGAATTGGCCAGTGGGAAGGAGGCAAAATATTTTTAAAGAGCATTTTACTTTCTCCTTGAGGTTTAAACCTCGTAAACGCATCTAAATTGTTGGCTAAGCTTTTTTTAATTTCAGGCTCTTGAGGCTCACAGTGTTGAGCTGTGTTTATCATTTTTCCAAACTATTTTCTTTTCTTGAATAAGTATTTTTCTGTAGTTTCCTCTAGTATTTTGGCATCTTCATTGTGGGGAGCGTCTGCCATATCGACCATATGGTCTGACTGATGAGTTTCACAATTCATTGACATGCCTCATCATTATAATTATGAGAAGGATATTCATACCGGACTTTGCTTTTGAAGTCCTTCACTTGTTTCTAGAAATTCTCTTACATGTTCTTCAGTGACCCAGCTATTTACTTTAATGCTGCGCTTATTGTTCCATTCACACTTGACCCCCAGGCACTACAACATTATTCTGAGTCAATATTTCATTCTGAGTCAGAATTTGTGGTGTGTCACCACTTTATTTTGTCCTCATTTAAGTTGAAAGACTTTGTGGTCGCGGAGCTTTTTTAAAGTTTCAGTCTACTTTCCACCTTATCAGACATAATTATATTTTCACTGACTTTTTTGCCACTGTCTGGTCACACCTGCTTTCATGTCTCAACAGATACCAGAAGTAAAGGTTTCTAGAAGTGACAGAGATGCACGAGTGTGAGGTGTACCATAGAAATCTGACTCCCATGAAAATCATAATGAAAATTTGACTTCCTCCATGAAATTTCGACCCCAGTTTCATTATGAAAATCTGACAGGGGAGTCAGATTTTCATGGTACACAGGCATTAGTGCCAAGCCCTGTTTGACTCAATGATACTGCCAGGAAGTTAAGACAACTGAATAAAAGCCATTCTAATCTGTAAACAAATATTTACTGCAATATGTAAGGGCAGATATGCTTCACAGCTTACATGCAACATTACATTTCGTGTAAGGTAGGTTGGATACTTTGCATGCTTCACCTGACAAATTACATGTACATATATGTACATTTGCATTAAATGTCTGCATGTCAATTATGAAGCATTATACGTATTTAAAGAATAATTGAAAAGACAAAGGTAGGCTTGCAAAAGTGGATATTCCTCACCTAGGTAAATGATAGAAAGTTAAAAGGGGCAAATGGAAAGACCTGCAATGTAGATACAAAAATGAGTTTGAGTTTGTCCAAGAAATGAGCCCATAGGACAATTTATCCAGCTTTTACTTTTGTAGCAAAGGAGGGATACACTTTTCACAAGGTTTTCCATCAAATATTGACACATTTATGGTAAGAAAGGCTTCTTCCTTAAGAAGAATCTGCAAACTTATAGTGCCAAAGGTTATGCCTGCAAACCCAGCAGACCCAAGACCACATGGAGGAGGACAGTTGAAGCAGAACTGAAACAACTGGGTGAAAGTTGGGGGACAATTCAACACCTAGCGAGAGACAGAGAGGAGTGGAGGACCTTTGTTGACGCCCTAGACGCCCAACGGCGTAATAGGAGATAGTAGTAGTAGTAGTTATGCCTGCAAATTTTAAAGAACTATTTCATAAATCTGTCTTTAATTTCCAAGTTCCATGTCAGTGAAGTAGAATTGTTTTTTCATCTAAGCTTATATCCACCTCAAATTATTAATCACTGTGTACAACTTCAACCTTTGGGTTGCAATAAGTTAATAAATTATTATTATTGTCATTAATATTTTTGTTATTTGTTAACAAAATCAGCTTCAAAATGTAAGTCTTTTTCTCTGGCATATACCAGAGATCAGGTGAGCAAGGCAAAGATTTTGTTTCAAATAAGCACATATGGACACAGTTAATACATTTATTCAAAATATTTTAAAGCTTTTTACAATTTTTGCAGAGTTCATTGGCCAAAAGAGCCATTTCCACCAATAAGTTCTGAAACCCGAATTTGTTTTACAATAATTAAAAAATTATGTAATGTAGTGGGAAAATCATCAGTGTATTTAAAAAAGTAACATAGGTGCATTTTCCATCAATATTTGGTTAAAATATTTACCTTTGCTCCTATGGTTATTTTATAAATATTCAAATTAACGTTTCCCAACTTTCGAGGCAAGTGTATTATGTATATTTGAATGAAGAAAATTACAATGTACGAAAATAATTTATTAATGTGGCATTTCTGCATATAACTCCTTTGAAAAGAATATGAGTCATCAGCTCTGCAGTAATTTTAATGCTAGTTCTTCATTATCCTCTAATGTAAGATCATCGTTTTCATCTTCACTTTCATCTTCCTCTTCATCTCCATCTTCTGATTCACTCTCTGCACTATCTTCATTGCTTACTGAAACTCTTGCTCTCTTATTGGTAGGTCTGGGGATGAAAAATTAGCAGTTATGGTATAAAACTAAATATAAAACATTGAAAGTTTGGTTTTGAATTAAGAAACAAGTTCAACATTACTACTTTAAGTAAAATCCTGAGAATTTTTCTCTTTACTTCGTAAATCTGTAATAATAATTTTCCCATTACTTTATTCTACAAATTGTTTTTACTATCTTTGTCTACAAAACAGTTGTTACACTTACTCATCCTCTTCAGAACTGTTCTCCCCATCCTCAGAGCTTGTACCAGTGTCTTTCCTGCCATAAACAAGGTCAGGGTCAGGTAGAAGATCAATGGCAGCATCTTCATCTCCACTTGGTAAATGAGCAACTGGTTCTTCATCTTCTACCTTCAGGTTTGCAAAGAAATTATTTAAAGAGTATATGTTTATTAAACAACTTTTGTTATTTATTTTTTCCAAATATCTTATTACTATTTTCATTCTCCATACATAATTTGCAAGTTTACGGAATCAAATTAATTTTGGAAAGATTTTTGTAGTGTCTACATTTATTTTGCACTTATAATAAATGATCAATTTGTATTATTTGATACTCGCCAACAAATTTTACGAAAACATAGTAAAAGTTAAGCTACCTCTAAACCTTTTCTTCTTGCATCTTCTGCCCTCCTTGCTGCTTTGGACTTCATCCTTTCTTCCTGCAATAGAATACAAAATTATAAAAGAAAATGATCATCTTTCAATAAGAACTGCTGTCAGGCCTTTTCCAAAGATTGTGGTTATGGGGCCCCCAAACAGTGAGTTGGAGGAATTCAAGAGAGATGAAGGCACCATGATGTCTGCAATATTTGACATATACTCAGTCCAAAAGAAGAGTGAACTGCAAAAAATTTTGGAGGTGCAAGAAATTGACACTGGTGACCAGGTTCATCAGTTAAACTACTCTTACAACGCATCATGCGTGCTTCTATGAGCGGTTTGCGTGCAAAAAATTGGCCAAGCACTAAGATACATGCACGTGGAATGTACTTTTTTTGGTGACGGAAACAAGACGCAAAGCACGCAGCCCGAAAACTGGCCGAAGGAAAAAGGCCTGAAGGAGGAGAAAAAGAAGGTTCAGGTGTGGAGGCAGATGCGGAAAGCACCACAAGTGCCACAGGGAAGCAGAACCCATCACGATACGATTTCAAAAGTGAGGAGGAGGCTAGACTCGCTGAGTTTTTTTAACACAACGAGTTCTACAACAAGGGAAACCCAAATATAGCAACATCCAGTACAAGAGGAAGGTTCTGGACCAAATGGCTGCTCAACTGAACAGTCATGGTGAGTGACATTTTTGGCTATTAAATGTGTAGATATTCCACAACATTTATACTAAAATATTATGTATTTGGAAGAGTAAGTATAAGAAATAGTTTCAGCCAGACCTTTATTTAGTGGTGTTTTCTTGTTATGTTTCAGGTTGGTTCAAGAATCAGCGCACCCAAGTTGGCAAGATGATGAACCCCCACAAGAAAAAGTCTGGCTCAGGGCAAGAGGTTCCGACTACCCGGAAGAAGTGGCAGCTGAGCAGTTTCAAGTTCCTCGATCTCTAAGCACGCATGATGGGTTGTAAGAGAGGCTTTAAATGTAGACTTTCTGGAATGTTATCCCATTCCTCTCCCCATTAATAGTTGCATATAACTTTTAACTGACTGGCAGGAGTGATAAGTCATATCAGCAGAGATACCACAGATTCATGGCAACAATATGTTTTACCTTTATTATGATATTCCATCTTCGAAATGATATTTTCATTAATGTACTTAAACACAACTGTGCCATATCAAATAATGTTAAGTTTTTTAGACTATCCACTGTCCCAAAAAATCAAACCATCACAAATAAATAAAATCTGTAAGCTGTCAAGTCATCAAAGAAAATATCAGTCGTCTTCTGAGGAAACCGGCTGTCAAAATGATGACTGGGAAAAGTATTGAATGTTTTAAATGGGAGCAACAAAGAAATCAAAGTAAGGTGCACTTTTATCTGAATGTGTTTTGTAACTCTTCTGTTTATTTTGATAACACATGCCTTGTAGGTGCATAGGCTGAAAATAGTCTCATGAGGAACAAACTTTGTTATTTAAATCCATCAACTACCAATAAAAACAGTAAACTATTATTATGAGTTTGCTTTTAAGAAATAATACTTTACCTTATGCCGTTTCTTGATTCTCTCCCTAAACATTTGCTTGTCCATCTTGTCCTCTTGTTGCATGACCTTCTTAGCAATATCAATATCAATACCCCCTTCATATGCCTCTTCCTCAGGGAGAGCCGTTTGACGTGTACGCAAGGGATCTTGAATAACCTGAAGAGACAGCATCCACTTTCTACATTATATTAATAACACAGTAACACTAAAACAGAGAATAATGAAAAAATGAGTACTGAATAAAAAAATTCCATGACAAAGCTAGAACTCCTGTCACCCGCTCCTAGATGGTATCAAAGGCAGAAACAAAATGACACATGCTTTTGACCAGTGTATTGTAAAAAAAAACTAAATATTTAAATTGAATTAGTAGTAATATTTTGAAATACAACATGCAGCAAATGTAGCCAGTGACCAGCTTTTTCACAAAAATGGATCCACCATGCAAATGTTGGTGAAAGAATACAAAAACATTTAGATATCCCACCTCTCCTTCCTCATTAAACAGTATTTTTGTGTTCACTTTTAGATTTTTCTTGTGAATCTTCCTTGCAACTGCTGCTTTTGTGACTGCTTTAGCCTTCTTTGCTTTCTCCAAAGTTACCGCACATTCCTTCTCGTCCTGTAAAATATATCGGTAATTAAACAATGGAAACTTTTCACCCCATTAGAAACAAACTATATCAAGGATCAGAGTGGGCACATGCCTCATTTTCATAAATTTACTAAATTCAAAAATTACCTCATCAGAAATTACAGGGTCAATTCTTTTCTTCACTTGAAAAAGAGAATCGCCATCATCATCATCATCATCTTCCACTTGGAACTGAAGAACTTCTTTTGCTGCCTCTGTACTTCCTGTAGGGTTCCTTTTTTTCTCTAAATGTTTTTCACTTTTAGTTACTTGATTTGGGGAATTATCTTTCTCAATATCTTTTTGGTTGCTTGGGCATGTTTCACTTCCATCATCATCACTTTCATTATCACTTTCGTTGTCACTTCCTGACTCCCTATCACCGTCTTCAATGTTTTTACTGTTCTCAAATTGGTCAATTTGTAACAGTTTATTTCTTTCAGAAAAATCACTCTCATTACTGTTGGATTTTGATTCACTGTCAACATTCTGCATTAATGATGCATCTTTTGCTACTTGTTTTGCTTCAAGTCTTTTCTTGTCCTTCTGCAGAAACCGTACTCTTGGTGGGAAGGCCAGACCTAATGAACTTAAACAAGCAAACACAGCCATTAAAATTAAGCTACTGAACAAATTAAAGTATAAAAATTTTGAGCAAAATGATACTTCACTGATAGAACACAGGAAAACACCTGACTTTAATACTCTCAACTGTATTTTACACATTTTCTCCAGCCATAATTATTTTGTTCATACCTTGCAAACTGTTCTGTGTCCAAGGCATGAACTTTAAACACTTTTTTGTCACTCATGAGGAACACTGCCTTCAAATAAGCTACGAATGCCTATAAAGAATAAAAATGCAAAGACAAATGAAATGTTTTCCTTAAAATATATCTTATACACTATAAAAATCATAAATTCAAACAACTACATCTTGATGTTTAAATGTTAAATGTTATCAAACACTATGTTATTACATATCACAAAATTAAAAAACAAATTATGTGTAAATAAGAATAAATAGCAATTTAAAACCATAACTTATTTGATTCCACTTAAAAATTTACCCTTTGAGCCATCTCTTTGAAGTGAACATCTGCTGCACAACAAGACTCAAGCTTGCCCTTGATGCTCTGCCATCTTTTGGGATTAACTCTGTCAAAATGAGCAGTGTGTGATTGTATATATTGGAACAAGACTTATTTTTAAACCAAAAGATGAAAAAAAAAACATATCCCATGATCACCCCCTTTGCAATATATATAACAGCATAATCAAACTAAAAAAATTTATGTTCATAAAAATATAATACAATATAATACTGCATACATTAAAAAAACATTTCTGTGCATGAACAAGTCCACCTCTTTACAGAATGTCCCCAATACACCAATGTGTGCCCTTACTTGATATTTTGAATAGGTATTTTCTTTTCCTCCAGCAGCTGTATCATGGCAGCTTCCTCAGATGGCAGCAATATCAACAATGCCTCACCACCAGTTTCATATCTATTTCAAAGACACAATAATTATTAGTGATTATTTCCCTTTTTTTTAAATAACAAATCCACTAGTGAAATATTCCATTTAAGTCATGTATTCATGGAAGCATGTTTACATAACTATCAAAAATATATATTTGGTCACAGTATCATGTGAATTAATTGTCAATGTTTTCCATCATACCTTGCAGTTCTTCCCACTCTATGGATATATGTGTTTGCATCTTCTGGACAGTCTAGCTGGACAACCCAGTGGACTGCAGGGAAATCTATTAAATAATAATATAATGGGTATATTAGCAGAGAATACTTAATACACAGAGAGGTCAAATATCATAAATCTGAAAATAGCATTAACAAATGTCTTAGACTTTATATTTTCAGGCCAAAGCAATAAAGCATCCCACTAACTCTACTGCAAACAAACCATAACTAAAATATTTATGATATTTCTCTAAACATTGGCAAAAAAAAAATGGTACAAAAGCCAACAAACTTACCAAGACCTCTTGCAGCAATATCTGTGGCCAGTAACACTGCATGCTGTTTTCTACAGAACATGTTGTAGGCATCCACTCTCTTCAACTGGTTCATCCCTCCATGGAGAGCTATAACACTATTACCTGGTCGCAGCTTTCTGAAGGCTTCATAAACATACTTTACCTGGTAAAATATATTATAAAACTAAATTATAATTTTTGTATTTTAGGGAGTTAAAAGTCTNGAAAATCATAATGAAAATTTTACTTCTTCCATGAAATTTTGACCCCAGTTTCATTATGAAAATCTGACTGGGGAGTCACCTTTTAGGGGAGTCAGATTTTCATGGTACACAGGCATTAGTGCCAAGCCCTGTTTGACTCAATGATACTGCCAGGAAGTTAAGACAACTGAGTAAAAGCCATTCTAATCTGTAAACAAATATTTACTGCAATATGTAAGGACAGATATGCTTTACAGCTTATATGCAACATTACATTTCATGAGGTACATTTGATACTTTTCGGTACTTCACCTGACATATTACATGTACATATGTGTACATTTGCTTCACAGCTTACATGCAACATTACATTTCGTGTAAGGTAGGTTGGCTACTTTGCATGCTTCACCTGACAAATTACATGTATATATATGTATATTTGCATTAAAGGGATAATAACTCTTCGTATGAGATCTATATTTCACAATAAAAACATTGTGAATAACTCACAGAAATATAATAGATTCTGTTTTACCACAAAAACGGCAGTTATAGCTATTATTCTGATATCTGAGCTTTTCTTTAGACCATGTGACCTCCACTGATGGTTATACTCTAACAAAAAACCAAACTTTTTAGAAAAAAACCAGGGACTAACTTTGAATGTAAAAATGGATTCATTCACCATTGGTGAGTATGTGAAAATTGTTGTTTACTCCAGGAAAATTCATTTTTTGGCTGAAACGAAGAGTTATTATCCCTTTAAATGTCTGCATGTCAATTATGAAGCATTGTACGTATTTAAAGAATAATTGCAAAGACAATGGTAGGCTTGCAAAAGTGGATATTCCTCACCTAGGAAAATTGAAAGGGGCAATTGGAAAGACCTGCAATGTAGGTACAAAAAGGAGTTTGTAGGTACAAAAATGAGCTTGAGTTTGTCCAAAAAATGAGCCCATAGGACAATTTATCCAGCTTTTACTTTTGTAGCAAAGGAGGGATACACTTTTCACAAGGTTTTCCATCAAATATTGACACATTTATGGTAAGAAAGGCTTGTTCCTTAAGAAGAATCTGCAAACTTATAGTGCCAAAGGTTATGACTGCAAATTATAAAGAACTTTCATAAATCTGTCTTTAATTTCCAAGTTTCGTGTCAGTGAAGTAGAATTGTTTTTTATCTAAGCTTATATCCACCTCAAATTATTATCCACTGTGTACAACTTCAACCTTTGGGTTGCAATAAGTTAATAAATTATGATTATTGTCATTAATATTATTGTTATTTGTTGACAAAATCAGCTAATCGAAATGTAAGTCTTTTTCTCTGCCGTATACCAGGGACCAGGTAAGCAAGGCAAAGATTTTGTTTCAAATAAGCACATATGGCCACAGTTAATACATTTATTCAAAAAACTTGAAAGCTTTTGACAATTTTTGCAGAGTTCATTGGCCAAAAGAACCATTTCTACCAAAAAGTTCTGAAACACGTATTTGTTTTACAATAATTAAAAAACTATGTAATGTAGTGGGAAAATCATCAGTTTATTTAAAAAAGTAACATATGATAGGTACATTTTCCATCAATATTTGGTTAAAATATTTACCTTCGCTCATATGGTTATTTTATAAATATTCAAATTAACAATGTTTCCCAACTTTTGAGGCGAGTGTATTATGTATATTTGAATGAAGAAAATTACAATGTACGAAAATAATTTATTAACGTGGCATTTCTGCATGTAACTCTTTTGAAAAGAATATGAGTCATCAGCTCTGCAGTAATTTTAATGCCAGTTCTTCATTATCCTCTAATGTAAGACCATCGTTTTCATCTTCACTTTCATCTTCCTCTTCATCTCCATCTTCTGATTCACTCCCTGCACTATCTTCATTGCTTACTGAAACTCTTGCTCTCTTATTGATAGGTCTGGGGATGAAAAATTAGCAGTTATGGTACAAAACTAAATATAAAACATTGAAAGTTTGGTTTTGAATTAATAGACAAGTTCAACATTACTACTTTAAGTAAAATCCTGAGAATTTTTCTCTTTATTTCGTAAATCTATAATAATAACTTTCCCATTACTTTATTCTACAAATTGTTTTTACTATCTTTATCTACAAAACAGTTGTTACACTTACTCATCCTCTTCAGAACTGTTCTCCCCATCCTCAGAGCTTGTACCAGTGTCTTTCCTGCCATAAATAAGATCAGGGTCAGGTAGAAGATCAATGGCAGCATCTTCATCTCCACTTGGTAAATGAGCAACTGGTTCTTCATCTTCTACCTTCAGGTTTGCAAAGAAATTATTTAAAGAGTATATGTTTATTAAACAACTTTTGTTATTTATTTTTTCCAAGTATCTTATTACCATTTTCATTCTCCAAACATAATTTGCAAGTGTACTGAATCAAGTTAATTTCGGAAAGATTTTTGTAGTGTCTACATTTATTTTGCACTTAAATGATCAATTTGTATTATTTGATACTCGTCAACAAATTTTACAAAAACATAATAAAAGTTAAGCTACCTCTAAACCTTTTCTTCTTGCATCTTCTGCCCTCCTTGCTGCTTTGGACTTCATCCTTTCTTCCTGCAATAGAATACAAAATTATAAAAGAAAATGATCATCTTTCAATAAGAACTGCTGTCAGGCCTTTTCCAAGGATTGCGGTTATGGGGCCCCCAAACAGTGAGTTGGAGGAGTTCAAGAGAGATGAAGGCACCATGATGTCTGCAATATTTGACATATACTCAGTCCAAAAGAAGAGTGAACTGCAAAAATTTATGGAGGTGCAAGAAATTGACACTGGTGACCAGGTTCATCAGTTAAACTACTCTTACAACCAGTTGTGCATGCTTCTACGAGCAGTTTGCATGCAAAAAATTGGCCAAGCAGTAAGATACATGTACGTGGAACGTACTTTTTTTGGTGACGGAAACACGACGCAAAGCACGCAGCCCGAAAACTGCCCGAAGGAGAAAGGCTTGAAGGAGGAGAAGAAGAAGAAGGTTCAGGTGTGGAGGCAGATGTGGAAAGCACCACAAGTGCCACAGGGAAGCAGAACCCATCACGATTGAAGTGAGGAGGAGGCTAGACTCGTTGAGTTTTTTTAACAACACAACGAGTTCTACAACAAGGGAAACCCAAATATAGCAACACCCAGTACAAGAGGAAGGTTCTGGACCAAATGGCTGCTCAACTGAACAGTCATGGTGAGTGACATTTTTGGCCATTAAATGTGTAGATATTCCACAACATTTATACTAAAATATTATGTATTTGGAAGAGTAAGTATAAAAAATAGTTTCAGCCATGTTACAGTAGCAACATCATTATACTATTACTGTGTAATTCCAAGACCTTTATTTAGTGGTGTTTTCTTGTAATGTTTCAGGTTGGTTCAAGAATCAGCGCACCCAAGTTGGCAAGATGATGAACCCCCACAAGAAAAAGTCTGGCTCAGGGCAAGAGGTTCTGACCACCTGGAAGAAGTGGCAGCTGAGCAGTTTCAAGTTCCTCGATCCCTAAGCACGCACGATGGGTTGTAAGAGAGGCTTTAAATGTAGACTTTCTGGAATGTTATCCCATTCCTCTCCCCATTAATAGTTGCATATAACTTTTAACTGACTGGCAGGAGTGATAAGTCATATCAGCAGAAATACCACAGATTCATGGCAACAATATGTTTTACCTTTATTATGATATTCCATCTTCGAAATGATATTTTCATTAATGTACTTAAACACAACTGTGCCATATCAAATAATGTTAAGTTTTTTAGACTATCCACTGTCCCAACAAATCAAACCATCACAAATAAATAAAATCTGTAAGCTGTCAAGTCATCAAAGAAAATAACAGTCGTCTTCTGAGGAAACCGACTGTCAAAATGATGACTGGGAAAAGTCTTGAATGTTTTAAATGGGAGCAACAAAGAAATCAAAGTAAGGTGCACTTTTATCTGACTGTGTTTTGTAACTCTTCTAATGTTTATTTTGATAACACATGCCTTGTAGGTGCATAGGCTGAAAATAGTCTCATGAGGAACAAACTTTGTTATTTAAATCCATCAACTACCAATAAAAACAGTAAACTATTATTATGAGTTTGCTTTTAAAATGATATTTAAGAAATAATACTTTACCTTATGCTGTTTCTTGATTCTCTCCCTAAACATTTGCTTGTCCACCTTGTCCTCTTGTTGCATGACCTTCTTAGCAACATCAATGTTAATACCCCCATCACATGCCTCTTCCTCAGGGAGAACCGTTTGACGTGTACGCAAGGGATCTTGAATAACCTGAAGAGACAGCATCCACATTCTACATTATATTAATGACACAGTAACACTAAAACAGAGAATAATGAAAAAATCAGTACTGAATAAAAAATTCCATGACAAAGCTAGAACTCCTGTCAGCCGCTCCTTGATGGTATCAAAGGCAGAATCAAATTCACACATGCTTTTGACCAGTGTATTGTAAAAAAAACTAAATACTTAAATTGAATAAGTCATAATATTTTGAAATACAACATGCAGCAAATGTAGACAGTGACCAGCTTTTTCACAAAAATGGATCCACCATGCAAATGTTTGTGAAAGAATACAAAGACATTTAGATATCCCACCTCTCCTTCCTCATTAAACAGTATTTTTGTGTTCACTTTTAGATTTTTCTTGTGAATCTTCCTTGCAACTGCTGCTTTTGTGACTGCTTTAGCCTTCTTTGCTTTCTCCAAAGTTACCGCACATTCCTTCTCGTCCTGTAAAATATATCGGTAATTAAACAATGGAAACTTTTCACCCCATTAGAAACAAACTATATCAAGGATCAGAGTGGGCACATACCTCATTTTCATAAATTAACTAAATTCAAAAATTACCTCATCAGAAATTACAGGGTCAATTCTTTTCTTCACTTGAAAAAGAGAATCGCCATCATCATCATCATCTTCCACTTGGAACTGAAGAACTTCTTTTGCTGCCTCCGTACTTCCTGTAGGGTTCCTTTTTTTCTCTAAATGTTTTTCACTTTTAGTTACTTGATTTGGGGAATTATCTTTCTCAATATCTTTTTGGTTGCTTGGGCATGTTTCACTTCCATCATCATCACTTTCATTATCACTTTCATTATCACTTTCGTTGTCACTTCCTGACTCCCTATCACTGTCTTCATTGTTTTGACTGTTCTCAAATTGGTCAATTTGTAACAGTTTATTTCTTTCAGAAAAATCACTCTCATTACTGTTGGATTTTGATTCACTGTCAACATTCTGCATTAATGATGCATCTTTTGCTACTTGTTTTGCTTCAAGTCTTTTCTTGTCCTTCTGCAGAAACCGTACTCTTGGTGGGAAGGCCAGACCTAATGAACTTAAACAAGCAAACACAGCCATTAAAATTAAGCTACTGAACAAATTAAAGTATAAAAATTTTGAGCAAAATAATACTTCACTGATAGAACACAGGAAAACACCTGACTTTAATTCTCTCAACTGTATTTTACACATTTTCTCCAGCCATAATTATTTTGTTCATACCTTGCAAACTGTTCTGTGTCCAAGGCATGAACTTTAAACACTTTTTTGTCACTCATGAGGAACACTGCCTTCAAATAAGCTACAAATGCCTATAAAGAATAAAAATGCAAAGATAAATGAAATGTTTTCCTTAAAATATATCTTATACACTATAAAAATCATAAGTTCAAACAACTACATCTTGATATTTAAATGTTAAATGTTATCAAACACTATGTTATTACATATCACAAAATTAAAAAACAAATTATGTGTAAATAAGAATAAATAGCAATTTAAAACTATAACTTATTTGATTCCACTTAAAAATTTACCCTTTGAGCCATCTCTTTGAAGTGAACATCTGCTGCACAACAAGACTCAAGCTTGCCCTTGATGCTCTGCCATCTTTTGGGATTAACTCTGTCAAAATGAGCAGTGTGTGATTGTATATATTGGAACAAGACTTATTTTTAAACCAAAAGATGAAAAAAAACATATCCCATGGTCACCCCCTTTGCAATATATATATATAAAAGCATAATCAAACTAAAAAAATTTATGTTCATAAAAATATAATACTTCTGCATACATTAAGAAACATTTCTGTGCATGAACAAGTCCACCTCTTTACAGAATGTCCCCAATACACCAATGTGTGCCCTTACTTGATATTTTGAATAGGTATTTTCTTTTCCTCCAGCAGCTGTATCATGGCAGCTTCCTCAGATGGCAGCAATATCAACAATGCCTCACCACCAGTTTCATATCTATTTCAAAGACACAATAATTATTAGTGATTATTTCCCTTTTATTTTTAAATAACAAATCCACTAGTGAAATATTTCATTTAAGTCATGTATTCATGGAAGCATGTTTACATAACTATCAAAAATATATATTTGGTCACAGTATCATGTGAATTAATTGTCAATGTTTTCCATTATACCTTGCAGTTCTTCCCACTCTATGGATATATGTGTTTGCATCTTCTGGACAGTCTAACTGGACAACCCAGTGGACTGCAGGGAAATCTATTAAATAATAATATAATGGGTATATTAGCAGAGAATACTTAATACACAGAGAGGTCAAATATCATAAATCTGAAAATAGCATTAACAAATGTCTTAGACTTTATATTTTCAGGCCAAAGCAATAAAGCATCCCACTAACTCTACTGCAAACAAACCATAACTAAAATATTTATGATATTTCTCTAAACAATGGCAAAAAAAAAATGGTATAAAAGCCAACAAACTTACCAAGACCTCTTGCAGCAATATCTGTGGCCAGTAACACTGCATGCTGTTTTCTACAGAACATGTTGTAGGCATCCACTCTCTTCAACTGGTTCATCCCTCCATGGAGAGCTATAACACTATTACCTGGTCGCAGCTTTCTGAAGGCTTCATAAACATACTTTACCTGGTAAAATATATTATAAAACTAAATTATAATTTTTGTTTTTTAGGGAGTTAAAAGTCCATTACAGAAAATAAAGAAATCTTCAACAAGTACAAACCATATTTTTCATTTTTCATTCTTTGCAAAATAAATATCTCATTGAAAACTCCCATATGCTAACAGCTTAGTCCTTGATTTCCTGGATTCGGTGTAAAAATATGTTATCAGTATTACAGCTTTTTGCTAACAAGACATGCCCAAATAGTAAAGCATGGCTGGATGTTACTTACTGTTACCCTCAAATGCTCACCTGTTTGCAGCTGGAGAGGAACACCATGATCTTTGATTTTAAATGATTCTTTATAAATGACCATAGCAAGTCCAATTTCTGGTGAAGTTCACAAACAAGGTAACTCTGTGCTAGCTGTGTTGGTGTACTGTGTGCTGCATTCTCATGTACTGACACATACATAGGATCCTTCAGACTCAGTCGAGCCAAGTCCTTCACTGACCTAAAATTTGAGCAAAGAAAAAATTTACTGACACCAACCTCACCTACACATTTCCTATTTTCCTTGTCAATTTTTGAATAAATTACTTTAAGTTACATAAATAAGAATATAGAAATCTTAGTGCATCTACTTAATTTTTGTTATCTTTGCTACACATACAAGGTCATCACTTTTTTGCTGAAACTCACTTGGTTTGAGTTGCAGAGAACAAAAGTGTTTGTCTGTTTTCTGGGAGATTAGAAATGATGGCATTCATGGTATCCTGAAAACCAAGATCCAAAATCCTGTCTGCTTCATCTAGCACTGAAACAGATAACAATGTAATACATTTTTAAGGAAAAATGATCTCCTCACGATTTGCTCAAAAGTTAACATCATATCACATATTATATTATGAGCCACAAGAAAAAAAGATCTGCATCATTTTCCCTATGACATGACAATTATTTTCAGCAAAAGATCTCAGTCACATTCAAAATGATGACACTGACCTTGAGCAAGCCTGTACTTACCCAGTATTTGAAGATTATCTGCACTGAAGTTAAATGTTTCATCCATATGTTGCAGTAACCTTCCCGGAGTGCAGATCACTATGTTGGTGTTATTAATTCTCTTGGTCTCATCTCTTATAAACTTAAAAGCAAATTTTAAGCATTCATATGAAAAAGGTTCAAAGGTTATTCATTTGAAAATGACTTATCAATGACAATACACCCTTACATACTTAAAACCAACATTTCAATGATGATAAGAAGTTGCACAGTGCATTGAAACTTTCAGTACTGTATATGTGTAGAAACATGAGCACTATAAGCATTATCCTCACCTTGCCCCCTATGACCAAACCAGCAGAAAAGTCATGCTTGAAACCAATCTTCTGCAAGACTTGAAATATCTGATACGCTAACTCTCTGGTTGGAGTGATAATCAGTGCACCTAGACCGTCAAGTTGACTCCAGCGTTGATGATAAAGACATTCTAGTACCTGAGACATATTTACATGTACTGTATATATATTCAGAAAAATGGATACTATAAATCTTATAACAAAATAAATTAAAAAGACATTAAGAAATGCAAAAGCAAAACATTGTATAACTTTAAAAATATGTATCTTTTCTCAAGTAAATATCAAGTCTGAACATTTTTTGTATGCTAGTATGAAAAAGGAAACCATCAACAATATTAGCTACCAATATATCAACATGCCCTAATAAATATTTATAATTGCTCTGCAAACACTGACTCTTTTTCCAACCCT